CTCTCCTCTCCTTCCTTCTCTTCCCTTCCCTCTCTTCTTCCCTCTCTCCCTCTCCTCTTCCTTTTCCTTCCTTTCTCTTTCCCTCTCTCTCTCCTTTCCTTTCCCTCTTTCTCCCTCCTCCCTTCTCTCCCCCTTCCTTTTCCTCCCCTCTCCTTCTCTTCTCTCCCCTCTTTTTTTTCCTCCCCCTTTTTTTTCTCCCCTCTTTTTTTTTCCTCCCCCTTTCTTTTTCTCCTCCCCTTCTTTTTTTTCCCCTTTTCTTTCCCCCTCTTTCCTCCTCTCTCTCTCCCTCCCTTTTTTTCTTCCCCTCTTTCCTCCCCCTTCTTGCTTTTCTTTCTTCCTTCCTTCTTTTTTCTTTCTTCTCTTCCCCTCTCTTTCTTCTCTTTTTTTTCCTCCTCCTTTTCTCTCTTTTTTTTCCTCCCTCTTTCCCCTCTTTTTCTCTCCTTTTCCCCTTCTTCTCCCCCTTTTTTTCCTCTCCTTTCTTTTCCTCCTCCTCCTCCCCCTTTTCTTCCCCTTTTTTCCCCCCTTTTTCCTCCCCTTTTCTTTCCCTTTTTCCTCCCTCTTTCTCCCCTTCTTCTCCTCCCTTTTCCTTCCCTCTCTTTTCCCTCCCTCCCTTGTTTTCTCCCTTCCTCTCTCCTCTCCCTTCCTTTCCCTTCCCCCCTTCTCTTCCCTCCTCCCTCTCCTTTTCTCTCCCCTCCTCTCCCTCTCCCCTTCCCCCCTTTTCCCTTTTCTCTCCTCTTCCCTCTCCCCTCCTTCCCCTTCCCTCTTCTCTCCCTCCCCTCCCTTTCCCCCCTTCCCTCTTCTCTCCTTCCCTCCCCCTCCCTCCTCCCCTTTTCTTCTTCCCTCCTTTTCCTTCCCCTCTCCTTCCTTTTTTTTTCCCCTTCCCTTTCCCCTCTTCCTTCCTTCCTTTTCCCCCTCTTTTCTTTTCCCCTTTCCCTCTTCTTTCCCCTTCCCCTTCCTCTTCCTCTTCCTTTCTCTTTCTTCTTTCCCTCTCTTCTTTTTCCCCTCCCTCTCCTTTCTTCCTTTTTTCCCCCTTTTCTCTCTCCCTCCCCCCTTCCCTTTTTTTCTCTTCCTCCCTTCCCTTTTTCCCTTTCCCTCCTCTTCCTTTCCCCTTCCCTCCTCTTTCCTTTCCTCCTCTTCCCTTTTTCCCTTTCCCTCCTCTTCCCTTCCCCTTCCCCCTCCTTTTCTCTTTCCCTTCCCCTTCCTCTCCCCTTTTTTTCTTCTCCTCCCTCTTCTCTTTCCCCCCTCTCTTCTTTTCTTCTCCCCCCTTTTTCTTTCCTTCCCCTTTCTCTTTCTCCTCCCTTTTTTTCTTCTCCTCCCCCCCCTTTTTTCCCCTCCCCTCTCCTTTCTTTTTTTTCCTCTCCCTCCCTTTTCCCCTCTCCTTTTTTCTTCCCCTCTTCTTTCTTCCTCCCTTTCTTTTCCCTCTCTCCTCTTTCTCTTCTTTCCCCCCTCCTTTTCTTCCCTCCCTTCTTTCCTCTTCCCCCCTTCTCTCCCCTCTTCTCCCTTTTCCTTTTCCTTTCCCTCCTCCTTCCTTCTCCCCTCCTTCTCCTTTCCTCTCCTTCTTTCTTCTTCCCCTCTCCTTCTCCTTCCTCTCCCTTCTCCTTCTTTCTCTCCCCCTCTCCTCCTCTTCCCCTTTCCTCTCCTTCTTTCTTCCCCTCTTCTCCTCCCCCTTTTCCTTTCCTCTTTCTTTTTTCCTCCTCCCCTCTCCTTTTCCCCCCTCTTCTCCCTTCCTCTCTTCTCTTTTTCTCCTCTTCTCTCCTTTTCTTTCTTCCCCCCCTTTTCCCTCCTTTTCTCTCTTCCCCTCTGCTTTTTTCCTTCCCTTTTCCTTCCCTTTCCTCCCCTCCCCTTTTTTCTCTCTCTCTTTTTCTTCTCCCTTTTCTTTTCCCCCCTTTCTTCTCTCCTCTTTTTTTCTCCCTTCTTCCCCTTCCCTTTTTTTCCCCCTCATTTTTTTCTTTCTTTCTCCTCCTTCCTCCCCTCTTTCCTCTCTCCCCTCCCCCTTTCTCTCTCCCTTCTCCCTTCCCCTCTCCCTCCCTTCCCTTCCTTCCCCCTTCTTCCCTCTCCTCTCCTCTCCTCTCCTCTTCTTTCTTCCCCTCTTTCTCCTCCTCTTCCTTCTCCTCCTTCTTCTTCCTCTCTTCTCCTTCCCTCCCTCTTCCCTCCTTCCCCTCCCTTTTCTTCCTTCTCTGTCCTGTCTTCCTTCCTCTCCCCTTTCCTTCCTTTCTCAATTTCCCTCCAACATTTCCCCAACCTTTCCCCTCAATTTTACCAATATTTTTCCCCACTTTTTCCAAAACTTTTCACACTTTCTCCCAATATCCTCCCAACCTTTACACCACTATTTCCCCAACTTTTCCCCAACTTTTTTCCAACTTCTTTCCAACTTTTTTCCAAATTTTTTCCAACTTTTTTCCAACATTTTCCCAACATTTCCCTAACATTTTCCTAACATTTTCTCAACATTTTCTCAACATTTTCCCAACATTTTCCCAACATTTTCCCATCATTTTCCCATCATTTTCCCAACATTTTCCCATCATTTTCCCATCATTTTCCCAACATTTTCCCATCATTTTCCCAACATTTTCCTAACATTTTCCCAACAATTTCCCAACATTTTCCCAACATCTCCCCCACATTTCCCCACGTCTCCCTAACATCTCCCCAACATCTCCCCAACATTTCCCCAACATTTTCCTAACTTTCTCGTGTTTATTTGGGGAATGGTTATATGCTGGACGAAATGTTCATCAATCTCTTGAAAAAAAAGATTTAAGTAAAATAAAAAACACCACTCATTATCGAAAGAGGCGAATAGTCGCAGGGTAACGACAATTGTGTAGCAACTGGTAAGTTGGTGGTGGTTCGAATCTTGCATCGGGAAAAAATGTTTTTGTCACGACCCGAAAGAAAAGAGTATTTTTTATTGGCTTTCGAGGGAGAATTTCGTGTTACTGTTGGAAAGTTTTGGTAATTAGCTGCTTGAAAAAAAGGGCTTAATTATGTCCAAGGCTTGATGAAAAATTAGTTCAAAGTTTACAAGTATACATACGATGTAAGCACGTGGATGTTTTGTAGGTCCGCGTAATTTACTACATCTGCGACTTGTATGTACGTAGGCATATGATTTATGGACGTGCACGTTTTGGACCTTCGGGTACGTTCGCTATATATACACTATCCGCCAAAACAAAATTTTCCATTTTTCACTTTGCTTTTTTTTTAACAAATCTAAATGCTATTGCAAATGCCAGATGATCAAACGCAAATAGAATAGCAAAAAACGCCACGCAGTCGCAGTGAACTAATATGGTCATGGTTAAAATTTCAGTGCGCATGTGGAACACTCCCACAATCAACACCCTGAGCTATGTCACATATATACTAGACATTTTTAATGAGATGTTGTGGTGTTGTGTGCTCTTCTCTTCTCAGGGTTTTCGGTTGTCATCTTTCCTTTCTTGACCTTTCTCACTTCTGCCAGACGGTCATGAAAATTTGGGCTCTGCGATTTCAAAAAATATCAGCCAAAATTCTTGTGATTTGGCTGAACATTTAATACAACTAGTAGAAAATGATGTAGAAAATATTACCGATGTTTCTACAATCGAAAATTACGATCCAGTTACGACGAATGTAGAAGGTCTAGATCAAATGAACGTTGAAAGTCATGAACAAACTTCGGCGGTCAACATGCGACAGCGAGGCATATAGTCGATTTAGAGCAAGGTGTTGTTAAGAAAAGAAGGAGAAAATGTGGTAGCTGCAAACCGTGCCTGAGGAAAATAAATTGTGGCGAGTGTAATTGTTGTTTGAATAGAAAGACAAGTCATCACATATGTAAGCTTCGTAAATGCTCTAAGCTCAAAATGAAATCAAGTTGTATGGAGAACGAGTCGGGTACCGTCGCCTTTCAACACCTCGCACAGCAAGCAATTCTAATAGATAGTTCAAATGTTGAGAAATTAGGACATGCGAAAATAAATCCTGAGAAAGCAAAGGGGAAACTGCAGTCACGCCTCTGCAACGGTAAAGCTGCAGAAATTTGCATGGACAGGAGAATGCGCTTTACAAATCCCCTCTGACTGATGGAATCGGAACAAAGCCATACAACGGAAATTAGCACAGAGCACAATAATGTTCGCATTCCAAATCGTTCCCTGTGACACCACTGGAACCAAAATATAATGACACAGGAAATGCAAATAATAAGCCAAATCTACCTGAATTGGATGTTATGGCGTCTGAAATCAAAGAAAAAATGTGGGCTTCTATTATCAACAAAGTTTATGCGATCAGATTAGTAAAATCTATGACGAAATCGTCCATTTTAGAAGAACATTTTTATATACCCTCCGGCAGAGCGGGAAAAGATTTCATTGCAGAGTTGACTTATTGGCTAAAGCAATTCAATTCCAATTCTGATCTCAATTCGATTGCATTGAAAGCCTTTATGGTGCTTCCATCTTTGATTCTCCAAAAGCCTTGGCAACATCAAAGAGCAAAGAACACAGCACAGCGATAAAACGAAGATTAACCCTATGAAGCAAGGGGCTTGAATCTACTAATGAAAGAAGTGAGATTTACACAAGATCGGTTCTTATCATCAAGAAAACCCCGCACAGTAAATGATATCTCCAGAGTTTCCGCCAATTGGTAATGCAAGGAAAACTATCCGCGGCGATTAAATTTCTGGATAAAGAAAGCTCCCCGGGTTTACTAGATCTTTCGCCGGAACTTTGGAAGCTTTGAAGAGAAACACCCGGCAGCTAGTGATGTAGAGGACGAATGCCTTCTAAATGGTCCCGTAAATCGAATGGCGTCCAATATTTTTGACCTCATCAATGAGCAGATGATTTATGACGCAGCTTTTAAAACTAAGCGCTCAGCTGGACCGTCTGGTATGGACGCAGACATAATTTTATGCAAAGAATTTCAGTAACGAAACTAAGATCTTAAGAGAAGAAATATCAACGATGACCAAAAATCTGTTGAAATTATGCTACCATCCATCCCTGTTAGAAAGCTACACATCCTGTAGGCTAATTCCACTAGAAAAACATCCTGGAATTCGACCAATTGGAGTGGGGGAAGTGCTGCGTAGAATAATCGGTAAAACAGTAACTTCATTCTTGAGAGCGGAGATAAGGGAAGCAACAGGGCCATTGCAAGTTTGTGCAGGATACAGTGCTGGGGCCGAGGCAGCAATACATGCCATGAGCCATGTTTTTGAGGAAGAAGGGACTGATGGAATCCTATTAATTGATGCGACCAATGCTTTTAACCAAATGAATACAGCGGTAGCAATGCACAATCTTCGAATAACCTGCAACAGAATGTCCATATACATCATTAACACCTACAGATGCCCCTCCAGGCTATTCATATGTGGGGGAGGTGAGATTTTGTCGCAAGAAGGTACCACCCAAGCGGATCTTCTAGCTATGTCCTGGTACTCAATTAACACAGCTATAATGATTCAAAGTTTGAGATTGAACATACCAGAAATCAAACAAGTATGGCTGGCTGATGACTCAGCGGGAGGAGGAAGATTGACACATTTATATAATTGGTATAAGCATTTGGAAGAGGAAGGAAAGAAATACGGCTATCTAGTAAATGGTCCAGAGTGTTGGCTGATAATGAAGATGCAAGAACTGGCCAAAGAAGCAGAGCAGATCTTTGGAGAAGAAGTTAAAATTACAACAGAAGGAAAACGCCATTTGGGTGCTGTTATAGGATCAAAAGAATATAAAGATGAGTATTGTAAAGAAAAAACTCAAGGATGGGTACAAGATATCTCATCACTCACGGAAATCGCGAAAAGCCAGCCTCATGCAGCCTACATTGCCCTTACGAAAGCATACAAATCAAAATTTACCTACTTCATGCGAACAATTGAGGCCTTCGAAGAGTACGTAGAACCGATACATGAAACATTGAATGACATTCTCGTACCACAATTTTTTGGTCAAGAAGAACCCCTTGCGAGTGAGCTTGTGACCCTAACGCTAGCTCAAGGGGGATTAGGCGTACCGAATTTGAGAATAGAAGCTCCTTTGCAATATGCAGCCTCAAAATTATTTACTAATCAACATGTAAATTCAATTAAACAGCAGAGTGAGGCTTTGGAACCGATAGAGCAGTCTATAGATGATCTGAAGCGAATGCAGCAAGCAAACAAAGCGGAAATTATTAAGTCAAGAATGGATAACATTGATGCAACACTTTCTCCAGACCTACTGTTCTTGGTAAAGCAATCCCGAGACAAAGGAGTGAGTTCCTGGCTAAATGCGATTCCACTCAAAGATCAAGGTCTAGCCCTCAAGAAGCAAGAATTCAGAGACTCGTTACGAATGAGATACAATTTAACTTTGAACGATTTACCAAGTCATTGTGCGTGTGGAGATCGCTTTAACATCAATCATGCCCTCTCTTGTAAAAAAGGTGGGTTCGTGGCACAAAGGCACGATGGAATCCGTAATTTGCTAACAGCGCAACTGGATAAAGTGTGTAAGAATGTGGAAATTGAGCCTCATCTTCAACCCCTTGATAATGAGAGATTTGACTTGAGATCGGCCAATATAAGTCCCGAAGCGAGATTGGACATGAAGGCGGACGGTTTCTGGCTACGTGGAGCTACTGCATTTTTTGACGTAAGAGTAAGGCATGTAAACTCCCGATGTAACCAAGCCGCCCTACCCAGAACACTTTTAAGGAAACGAGAACGAAAAGAAGAGAAAATACCAACAGAGAGTTTTAGATGTTGAAATGGGCTCCTTTACCCCACTTGTTCTTGGAACCAATGGTGGAATGGGGTCTGAATGCCACAAGTTTCTTACTCAGCTGGCGCAGAAATTAGCAGGAAGAGACCATGAACGTTATGCAGTTTTCATAGCTTGGTTGAGAACCAGAATCTCATTCGAAATTCTAAGATCGGTACATACGAGTGTAAGGGGATCTAGATCACCTTTCTATAGAAAAGAACTTGAAGTGGTAGACGATTTTGGACTAAATGTTAAGATTGCAGAGGTTTTTTAAAGTTTCTTAAACTTTAACTTTACGTGCGAAGTACTCCTTTTCTATAAAAATTAGGAAGAACAACAATCATTATGACATTCGAAGAGTTTAACAGCCCATTGGAAAATGCATGGTGATTAGAATAGTTAATTTTGATCTAGTTTTATTTAGAATTCTTTTAAATAAGTATATAGTTAATTTGAATAAATAGAATTATGTGACTGTCTTCTCTCGGTGCTGCCTATGGCGGTATCGTTGGAGATCCTTCGGGATCTTTCTAAAAACTCTCCTCTCTGTTACCTCAATTATGGGCGCGGCGGGGGTTTGTTTTTCTCCCCCAAAGTGCCCCCGGGTTGTGGTAGCAACCTCTTTTGTCTTCCTTTTTAATTTATGATCTGTCTAATCAATATATGCAAATGAATCTTATTATAAATATGAGAGCCCAACATATAACATTTAAGAAAGCCATCAAAACAATTGAAGTTTAAAAGTAATGATGACTTTCTTTAAGGTTATATGTTGGGCTCTCATATTTATAATAAGAATCCGTTTTCCGCCTGGCAAATCTCTAGCTACGATATATGCAAATGAAGTTTACGTAATCGTATCTATGATGTAATAATTTATGCTGAACCTAACACATGCGCAGTTCACGACGAGCTTCTCTCTCGATCTATTCAATATGGTGGTCAATCAAGAAATGTTTTTGCTTGCAAAAAGATCGTAAATTGTTGGCGCTACAAGCTCGGAAAGGTATTGAAAATATTCCCGTCTCTTTGCTTTATTCTTTAAGTGTAATCTTAAGCGATATAAAGCTTATTCGAATTCGAATAAGTGGAATTTAACATGTGGAACGATTACAGCTGATTGCTTTTACTCATAATTGATGGTTTACTGTGATGACTACCAGCTAGTAATGGACAAATATTGCGTGGAATTATGTGAACTATTAACCCACCTTCTGCATGTTCGCCTTTTATCATCTGATTACTTATAACTTTTACAAATGAGTAAAACTTTTCAACTTTTGATATCTTATAGATTGTAAATGAGATCAGGCTTTTATCAGCTCACAGAATAACAAGGTATATTTATTAATTTTAGAAATTGTGCATCAAAAATTGTCTGCCTAGAACTGAACAAGTGTTGCTAAAGATGTATGGATTAACTGCAGTTGGTATATATTGCATTTTTAGAAGGAAGCATCCAAACAAATTCATTTGTAACATGGTGGATAACAAAGTCCCTCTTTGAAAACGTACTTCAGTCATTTTACGGTGAGTTTCTTACATAAATATAATCAAATATGATTTTCGGTTGGGCTTTCCTTTTCCTTTGTATAATTCCAAATGAGCTTGATAGGTTATTGAATATTGAGTAACTTGTGTCATAGTATTACAGCATTTTACGGACTCGATTTGATTGCACTTATAAATGATGCAATGAACGGTCTCTATCATATAAACGTCTGAAACTACTCCCTTCAACATATGTTTGCATTAGGCATCTGTGTCTAATAAATGCCTCCTCCGAATCAAAACACCAGGGGCCGGTTGTTCGAAAGGCTTTTAGCTTAAACGGTGGATAACCCAAGTTTAAAAGTACTCTAACAGATCTTGTGAATGAATGAACCTGCATCTTACGCATTAAATATGTACTTCCATTGACAATTAAACTATTTACATCAAAATATTTCAGCTCAGTTGTTCAATAAATAGATGATTTTGTTTTCCATTTTGAACTTAATCGTCCCAGTAATGTTTAATGTCCTAGTGTGGTTGTGTGTTTCAGAGTGTCTTGGTTATAATGTTCAATTTTAATTTGTAATTTAATTGTTTTGTTTTGGAAACATTCACAATTAGTTTGCACAAACTTTGACAATGAGGAAATTTTTGCAAAGGCACATGCCCTAAATTGCGACTTTGAAACACATGGGAGACTTTTTAAGTTTAAATGCACAAACTGCATTAACTAACACTTGATGCTGTATGTATTAGAATGGCATCACAAATTATTAATATTTAGTCTTAGTGGTGTTTTCACTTCTTCAAAATATGGTGGTGCTAATGATATAAATGCCTCTCTCTATTAAATGCTCTCTCTAGAATTGGCAGATTTCATTAAGGTGGTGTTGGTCATTGAAAATGTAGATTTACCCTGTTTTAAAAATTTAAGGAGTCGATTAGCTTGTTTCATTGTTCTGTATAATTAATGAAAAACTTTTTAGTTTTCTTAGCAAACTAAAATTGTCATTCCCTTTACTTTCGTGCACGATAATTCAAAAAATAATAAAGGTAACTTGATAAAATTCTCATGGTTTACTCTAAAGACAATTGGCTGGGATGTGAACCATTCAGTCTATGTAAAATAGGGACTGTTTATTTTAGATAGATCATAGAAGTTTTAAATATATAGCCTGTAAAATGTTTTGGAAATGTTTTATTTATTTGAGGTTCAGCTTGGAGGCAAAAGTATTTAGAACTAAATAAAACTAATGCTGTCATTCTAGCGTTAATACCTAGTTTGTTATCTTGTTTGCAAAAATCGTCTATTTCCCACCATTGGGTGTGTTTGTTCTTGGTAACTATAGCAATTGAAATTTTCTACAAGTCTTTTTCACTCAGAGCAACTTGACTTGCAATATGTCATGAAAAGATTTTTATATTTTTCAAAATAAAAATGAAAAAAAATTAATGACCTAGACTTAAAAGCCCCAGATGTTTATTGGATCATGTACAATATGTTAGTGCTTCAGTTGATCTCTGTACTCTTTTGTCTCTGTATATCTGATATCTTTATTCTGTACTGTATCTTTATTGGTATTATATGATGAAAATGGGAGCTCTGGATGGTTATGCAAATTGTGGGAAATTCCAAATTGATTTTGTGGCTGATTGCTTTTACTCATAATTGATGGTTTACTGTGATGACTACCAGCTAGTAATGGACAAATATTGCGTGGAAATGTGAACTATTAACCCACCTTCTGCATGTTCGCCTTTTATCATCTGATTACTTATAACTTTTACAAATGAGTAAAACTTTTCAACTTTTGATATCTTATAGATTGTAAATGAGATCAGGCTTTTATCAGCTCACAGAATAACAAGGTATATTTATTAATTTTGAAAAAATTGTGCATCAAAAATTGTCTGCCTAGAACTGAACAAGTGTTGCTAAAGATGTATGGATTAACTGCAGTTGGTATATATTGCATTTTTAGAAGGAAGCATCCAAACAAATTCATTTGTAACATGGTGGATAACAAAGTCCCTCCTTGAAAACCTACTTCAGTCATTTTACGGTGAGTTTCTTACATAAATATAATCAAATATGATTTTCGTTTGGGCTTTCCTTTTCCTTTGTATAATTCCAAATGAGCTTGATAGGTTATTGAATATTGAGTAACTTGTGTCATAGTATTACAGCATTTTACGGACTCGATTTGATTGCACTCATAAATGATGCAATGAACGGTCTCTATCCTATAAACGTCTGAAACTACTCTCTTCAACATATGTTTGCATTAGGCATCTATGTCTAATAAATGCCTCTTCTGAATCAAAACACCAGGGGCCGGTTGTTCGAAAGGCGTTTAGCTTAAACGGTGGATAACCCAAGTTTAAAAGTACTCTAACAGGTCTTGTGAATGAATGTACCTGCATCTTACGCATTAAATATGTACTTCCATTGACAATTAAACTATTTACATCAAAATATTTCAGCTCAGTTGTTCAATAAATAGATGATTTTGTTTTCCATTTTGAACTTAATCGTCCCAGTAATGTTTAATGTCCCTAGTGTGGTTGTGTGTTTCAGAGTGTCTGGTTATAATGTTCAATTTTAATTTGTAATTTAATTGTTTTGTTTTGGAAACATTCACAAACAGTTTGCACAAACTTTGACAATGAGGAAATTTTTGCAATAGGCACATGCCCTAAATTGCGACTTTGAAACACATGGGAGACTTTTTAAGTTTACATGCACAAACTGCATTAACTAACACTTGATGCTGTATGTATTAGAATGGCATCACAAATTATTGATATTTAGTCTTAGTGGTATTTTCACTTCTTCAAAATATGGTGGTGCTAATGATATAAATGCCTCTCTCTATTAAATGCTCTCTCTAGAATTGGCAGATTTCATTAAGGTGGTGTTGGTCATTGAAAATGTAGATTTACCCTGTTTTAAAAATTTAAGGAGTCGATTAGCTTGTTTCATTGTTCTGTATAATTAATGAAAAACTTTTTTAGTTTTTCTTAGCAAGCTAAAATTGTCATTCCCCTTACTTTCGTGCACGATAATTCGAAAAATAATAAAGGTAACTTGATAAAATTCTCATGGTTTATTCTAAAGACAATTGGCTGGGACGTGAACCATTCAGTCTACGTAAAATAGGGACTGTTTATTTTAGATAGATCATAGAAGTTTTAAATATATAGCCTGTAAAATGTTTTGGAAAATTTTATTTATTTGAGGTTCAGCTTGGAGGCAAAAATATTTAGAACTAAAAAAACTAATGCTGTCATTTTAGCGTTAAAACCTAGTTTGTTATCTTGTTTGCAAAAATCGTCTATTTCCACCATTGGGTGTGTTTGTTCTGGGTAACTATAGCAATTGAAATTTTCTACAAGTCTTTTTTACTCAGAGCAACTTGACTTGCAATATGTCATGAAAAGATTTTTATATTTTTCAAAATGAAAATGAAAAAAAATTAATGACCTAGACTTAAAAGCCCCAGATGTTTATTGGATCATGTACAATATGTTAGTGCTTCAGTTGATCTCTGTACTCTTTTGTCTCTGTATATCTGATATCTGTACTGTATCTTTATTGGTATTATATGATGAAAATGGGAGCTCTGGATGGTTATGCAAATTGTGGGAAATTCCAAATTGATTTTGTGGGCCATCCTTCCAGGTTTTCCAAAAAGCCTGAGTAATTGATTGCACTGGGAGTCTTAGCAATAAAAAAGTGCTGACTGAGGAATTTTGTGCAAAGAGCAAGGATTTATGAATTTACAAACATGAATTTTGAAACTTGTTTCATAGGTTTAGAGTTTTGTTTTCTTCTGGGGGGGCTTAAACTTTAGATACATGATATCTAGCTAGCAACACTTTCTGACATTAGATAAAATTAAATAGAATAAATTTCCTCTTGATATATAGTTGCATCGGTAGTCATGGTTCATATGGCCGATAGGTGGAGAAAATATTTACCAATGATTTTGACCTGTTGTGGGTAGAAAAGCTAATGAAAGATAAAATGAACAAGCTGCCATGTATTTTATGATTTTACAAGCTGCCATGTATTTTATGATTTACAGCTTGAAAATTCTGTATTTCGCAATTGCTTTTCCGAGTTGCTCGATATATTATAATCAACTATAATAATACCGTTTCATGTGTATATAAAGATCTTTTTTGAAAGATTCAACATTGCTCTGATGCAATTATTACTTTTTGGCAAATTTTTAGGGGGGCTGAGGCCCCCCAGTAAGATTTCTTGGGGGGCCGAGCCCCTCAGCCCCCCATACTCTATGCCTATGCTTGTTCTCATGATTATTTACATGGAGAAAGAATCAAATAAATCATTATCACAATTAATTTTAAATACAATAACTAATTACCTGAAAAATATTGAATGTATTGAAAATATTGATCGTTTTAGAATTTAGACATGCAGTATCAATAATATAAAATTGTACGGTAAATTGTGCACAAATCAGGGGGGGCATTCGGCACGCCCAGTACGCGAAAAACCGGGTAACGAGGATAGATTTCGGAGAAGAAAGGCGAAGGAAGGAAAGCCCGGAAATTTTTTAATTTTCTATGTTTTAAAGAGAAACTATAAAGTTATTTTAATGAAGTGAAGCTTGTTGAGAAAAAGATATTCCGATTATAAGTATATCTAGATATATATCTTATAAGCGTATGTTTTTGTTTGCTGCCTTTTTTAATATGACTTCGTCCTCGCGCATCGAATGTTGGAATTTTCTGAATATTTTTTCGGTCGATTTCTTTTGCATTAGTTCAACGTTTTAGAGTAAGAATGTTTGTTATGCCAAAGCATTTATTTCACGTAAATGACGTTCATTTTTTCTGCTTTGTTAGATTAAAAGTCCAGCGAGAAATGAAGTGAAAGGCGATTTGAAAACCACGAGGTAAGGCAGTAAGCCGCCATTTTATTAAATTTTCGTACTTTTTTTAATAGTGTGTTGTTTTTGTTTTATTTTAACATTCCATGCCCCAACCGAACACTTCAGTAAGGGTGCAGTAGTTTTAAAAAGATTTGTGGTTTAATTTTATTAAAAAATCCGCCTTCAGTCGAGAGGCGAGAGGAATGGCGAATTATTTCAGACCATGTATTCGGTGTTTGACATAATTGTGGGACCTGTGTTGCCAAATTAGTTTGTATTTTGAAACATTCGATTAAGTGCTAAGAAAAGAAATGGAAAACTAACTCTTTAAAGCCCGTTTTTGTTTTTGCCAAGGCAGGTTGATGCATGTAGTTTGATATATAAGAGGGGTCAGCACCATTTAGTAGCCTTAGAATGAGGGGAAGTAGAATTGTTTAAACGTTGATTCAATGTTGTTTTATCAGAGTCTGATGTTAATATTTTGTGTTTCAGATTGTTTTTGCCAATGTTTTGATCTGAGGGTTAAAGAACCATTTTACAATATTGGAGATATGTAGTGGAATAAATGCCTGGAAAGACAATTATTGTCTGACAATATAAACTATAAATTGAAACCGGAATGCAATGATAAGAAAGGGAAATATGGAATAAATGCCTGGAAATACAATATAAACTATAATTTTAAACTGGAATGCAATGATAAGAAAGGGAAATAAACTATTGCTAAGTCTAAAGAACCACTGAAGCTGAAGAATTGAGATACAACAATCTTTGACTGACTTTAGGTGTAAGACGTTCGCCCAGCTATTGTAGACCGCATGGAATCGATTCAAGTCCTTTAAAAATTTGTGAATCAAGATGAGAATGAACTTAGTGAATCTGTAATTGCTGCTATATGTTTTGGCTAAAATATAAAAAAAACTGTTGTATGTCTCCAAAACAAAGGAGCTTATATTTATGATACCAAAAAGAACAGGATGTTTGACATCAGAAATACAAAGAATTCGGCACACAGAGACAATTCACCTTTTAAAACGAAACCAAAAAACTAGAAGCAAAAAACAAATTGTGCTTCAAAACAAAACTAGAATGCACTGCTTTTAAAAGGTTGAAATATAGGAAAGGACAACTTTTTTCTAGGCGTTTAGTGATTCGTTTATAGTAACATCGCTCACGATGATGTTCGGAGTTGATCGGCATGTTGTCGTACATTATCATACCACGTGATCTGCTAAGATCACATGGTAATTATTGCCTATGAAACTAATCTCAACGTTAAAAAAAAATTTCTTTAGATTGGTGGCGATCGAAGGTGGACAGCAAGATCGAAGCTCAGCAAGATTGAAGATTGTTCGAAGAAGAAGGAGTTCGCCGTTGACTAAAAGGTGGGTTCCGGCGATTATATGCGTAATCTGCGGTTGCTTTGTCCGACCCCAGTAGGGGGACCGTTTGCCTGAGCGTTTTGGTCCCCCGCACGCTGCTAGACTAGTTCCCACTTGTAGGCCTTTACACTAATCTACGGGAAGGCCGTAGGCCTTCCTTAAGGAGTACAGTGTAGCTGAGCCGAACCCTTTTTTTTCGTTGTATATAGGTTTATCTGAACAGCTAGTTGTCAAGATGAATGCGAAGACTCGCCCGGCCAAATTCAAAATGGCGATGCCAAAGAAAACCATCCACCTGGACCGTTCGCAGACCTTTCTGGGCAAGATTGTTGTGCTGTCTGGTCAAAGTAAGTATTTTACTTTGATGTTTTGTGTGCCTTCGGCTAATTGTTGGCCAGAAATGACAAAAAGCCATATACAATATGAAATATTCTGCGTACAAGGTTATCTAAAATTTCGAACTTAATTCTGCCTGCAATGATGATAATTTTTTACTGAAAATTTATGTCATGAGCAACTTCCGCACCTATAGACTGAAGCAGAACTGAACATTTTGTCATTAACGTTTATCTCAACAGCCAGTTATCAAGACGAACGTCAAGAGAACAGTTGAAATAGAAAATAGAAATCAGTTCAAGACTCGCCGCCGCCGAATTCAAAATGGCGATCCCATACACGTGGACCGTTCGCGGACCTTTCTGAGCAAGATTGTTGTGCTGTCTGGTCAAAGTTAAGTATTTTACTTTGATGTTTGTGTGCCTTCTGCTAATTGTCGGTCAGAAATAACAAAAAACCATATACAATATGAAATATTCTGCGTACAAGGTTATCTAAAGTTTCGAGATTAATTTTGCCTGCAATGATGATAATTTTTTACTGAAAATTTATGTCTTGAGCAATTTTCGTACCCATAGACTGAAGCAGAACTGAAGATTTTGTCATTAACGTTTATCTCAACAGCTAGTTATCAAGACGAACGTCAAGAGAACAGTTGAAATAGAAATCAGTTCAAGACTCGCCCGGCCGAATTCAAAATGGCGATGCCGAAGAAAACTATACACGTGGACCGTTCGCGGACCTTTCTGAGCAAGATTGTTGTGCTGTCTGGTCAAAGTTAAGTATTTTACTTTACTGTTTGTGTGCCTTCTGCTAAAACTAGACAATAATTAAGGTAGTTATAAATGCAATTTTATATTAATAATGTCTTATTATATTAAAGATTTTCCTTGGTCAACATTGGAAGTGAACAAGATTTCTGCACAGAGGTAATTCGATTGTTTCTTCTAAATTTATATTAGCCTTGCAGCTGAAAATCTTGTCACTACCTTGTAATACATATCAACTGCCTGGGTATGTATTTTGTTATTTCAATAGTAAGAGGGAATTTGCTGCAACTAGGATCTTTTTCATGAAAATTGTCAGTGCGGTCACAATTTGGTTAAGATTGCTAAGTGAACTTTGCTTCTATACTCACTATGTGTCACCAGTAATAAATTCCTGTGGTGGTCTTGAAGTAAATATAGCAACCATAGTTATATATAGAAGGATGAAGTAACCATAGATTACCTGACCAAAAACTAGACAGTAATTAAGATAGTTGAAAATGGAATTTTTATTAATAATGTCTTTTATATTCAAGATTTTTCTTGGACAAGAGTGCAACATTAATGTGGATAGAACTTTACTTTCAAATGAACATTGGAAGTGAACAAGATTTCTGCACAGAGGTAATTCGATTGTTCCTTCAAAATTTTATTAGCCTTGCAGCTGAAATTCTTGTAGTGACTTTGTAATACATATCAACTGCCCGGATATATATTTTTTATTTATTATAAGGGGAATTTGCTGCAACTACGATCTTTTTCATGAAAATCGTCAGGCAGTCACAATTTTGTTAAGATTATAAAGTGAACTTTGCTTCTATACTCACTATGTGTCACCAGTAATAAATTCCTGTGCTGGTCTTTGAATAAATATAGCAACCATAGTTATATATAGAGGGATGAAGTAACCATAGAATACCTGACGAAAAACTAGACAATAATTAAGATAGTTGAAAATGGAATTTTGTCTTAATAATAACTTCTTTATATATTCAAGATTTTCCTTGGTCAAGAGTGCAACCAGCCACATTAGCTGCTGTGGATATGGACTTTACTGTCAGAGGAAAATTGGAAGTGAACAAGATTTTTGCAGAGGTAATTTGATTGTTCCTTCAAAATTTATATTAGCCTTGCAGCTGAAATTCTTGTAGTGACTTTGTAATACATATCAACTGCCCGGATATATATTTTGTTATTTATTATAAGGGGGAATTTGCTGCAACTAGGATCTTTTTCATGAAAATCGTCAGGCAGTCACAATTTTGTTAAGATTATAAAGTGAATTTGCTTCTATACTCACTATGGTCACCAGTAAAAATTCCTATGCTGGTCTTTGAATAAATATAGCAACCATATTATATATAGAGGGATGAAGTAACCATAGAATACCTGACGAAAAACTAGACAATAATTAAGATAGTTGAAAATGGAATTTTTTCTTAATAATAACTTCTTTATATATTCAAGATTTTCCTTGATCAAGAGTGCAACCAGCCACATTAGCTGCTGTGGATATGGACTTTACTGTCAGAGGAAAATTGGAAGTGAACAAGATTTTTGCAGAGGTAATTTGATTATTCCTTCAAAATTTATTAGCCTTGCAGCTGAAATTCTTGTAGTGACCTTGTAATATATCAACTGCCCGATATATATTTTGTTATTTAGTATAAGGGGGAATTTGCTGCAACTAGGATCTTCATGAAAATCGTCAGGCAGTCACAATTTTGTTAAGATTATAAAGTGAACTTTGCTTCTATACTCACTATGTGTCACCAGTAATAAATTCCTGTGCTGGTCTTTGAATAAATATAGCAACCATAGTTATATATAGAGGGATGAAGTAACCATAGAATACCTGACGAAAAACTAGACAATAATTAAGATAGTTGAAAATGGAATTTTGTCTTAATAATAACTTCTTTATATATTCAAGATTTTCCTTGGTCAAGAGTGCAACCAGCCACATTAGCTGCTGTATATGGACTTTACTGTCAGAGGAAAATTGGAAGTGAACAAGATTTTTGCAGAGGTAATTTGATTGTTCCTTCAAAATTTATATTAGCCTTGCAGCTGAAATTCTTGTAGTGACTTTGTAATACATATCAACTGCCCGGATATATATTTTGTTATTTATTATAAGGGGGAATTTGCTGCAACTAGGATCTTTTTCATGAAAATCGTCAGGCAGTCACAATTTTGTTAAGATTATAAAGTGAACTTTGCTTCTATACTCACTATGTGTCACCAGTAATAAATTCCTGTGCTGGTCTTTGAATAAATATAGCAACCATAGTTATATAGAGGGATGAAGTAACCATAGAATACCTGACGAAAAACTAGACAATAATTAAGATAGTTGAAAATGGAATTTTGTCTTAATAATAACTTCTTTATATATTCAAGATTTTCCTTGCAAGAGTGCAACCAGCCACATTAGCTGCTGTGGATATGGACTTTACTGTCAGAGGAAAATTGGAAGTGAACAAGATTTTTGCAGAGGTAATTTGATTGTTCCTTCAAAATTTATATTAGCCTTGCAGCTGAAATTCTTGTAGTGACCTTGTAATATATATCAACCGCCCAGATATATATTTTTTATTTAGTATAAGGGGGAATTTGCTGCAACTAGGATCTTCATGAAAATCGTCAGGCAGTCACAATTTTGTTAAGATTATAAAGTGAACTTTGCTTCTATACTCACTATGTGTCACCAGTAATAAATTCCTGTGCTGGTCTTTGAATAAATATAGCAACCATAGTTATATAGAGGGATGAAGTAACCATAGAATACCTGACGAAAAACTAGACAATAATTAAGATAGTTGAAAATGGAATTTTGTCTTAATAATAACTTCTTTATATATTCAAGATTTTCCTTGGTCAAGAGTGCAACCAGCCACATTAGCTGCTGTGGATATGGACTTTACTGTCAGAGGAAAATTGGAAGTGAACAAGATTTTTGCAGAGGTAATTTGATTGTTCCTTCAAAATTTATATTAGCCTTGCAGCTGAAATTCTTGTAGTGACTTTGTAATACATATCAACTGCCCGATATATATTTTGTTATTTATTATAAGGGGGAATTTGCTGCAACTAGGATCTTTTTCATGAAAATCGTCAGGCAGTCACAATTTTGTTAAGATTATAAAGTGAATTTTGCTTCTATACTCACTATGGGTCACCAGTAAAAATTCCTGTGCTGGGCTTTGAATAAATATAGCAACCATATTTATATAGAGGGATGAAGTAACCATAGAATACCTGACGAAAAACTAGACAATAATTAAGATAGTTGAAAATGGAATTTTGTCTTAATAATAACTTCTTTATATATTCAAGATTTTCCTTGATCAAGAGTGCAACCAGCCACATTAGCTGCTGTGGATATGGACTTTACTGTCAGAGGAAAATTGGAAGTGAAAAAGATTTTTGCAGAGGTAATTTGATTATTCCTTCAAAATTTATATTAGCCTTGCAGCTGAAATTATTGTAGTGACCTTGTAATATATATCAACCGCCCAGATATATATTTTGTTATTTAGTATAAGGGGGAATTTGCTGCAACTAGGATCTTCATGAAAATCGTCAGGCAGTCACAATTTTGTTAAGATTATAAAGTGAACTTTGTTTCTATACTCACTATGTGTCACCAGTAATAAATTCCTGTGCTGGTCTTTGAATAAATATAGCAACCATAGTTATATATAGAGGGATGAAGTAACCATAGAATACCTGACGAAAAACTAGACAATAATTAAGATAGTTGAAAATGGAATTTTGTCTTAATAATAACTTCTTTATATATTCAAGATTTTCCTTGGTCAAGAGTGCAACCAGCCACATTAGCTGCTGTAGATATGGACTTTACTGTTAGAGGAAAATTGGAAGTTAACAAGATTTTTGCAGAGGTAATTTGATTGTTCCTTCAAAATTTATATTAGCCTTGCAGCTGAAATTCTTGTAGTGACTTTGTAATACATATCAACTGCCCGGATATATATTTTGTTATTTATTATAAGAGGGAATTTGCTGCAACTAGGATCTTTTTCATGAAAATCGTCAGGCAGTCACAATTTTGTTAAGATTATAAAGTGAACTTTGTTTCTATACTCACTATGTGTCACCAGTAATAAATTCCTGTGCTGGTCTTTGAATAAATATAGCAACCATAGTTATATATAGAGGGATGAAGTAACCATAGAATACCTGACGAAAAACTAGACAATAAATAAGATAGTTGAAAATGGAATTTTGTCTTAATAATAACTTCTTTATATATTCAAGATTTTCCTTGGTCAAGAGTGCAACCAGCCACATTAGCTGCTGTGGATATGGACTTTACTGTCAGAGGAAAATTGGAAGTGAACAAGATTTTTGCAGAGGTAATTTGATTGTTCCTTCAAAATTTATATTAGCCTTGCAGCTGAAATTCTTGTAGTGACCTTGTAATATATATCAACCGCCCAGATATATATTTTGTTATTTAGTATAAGGGGGAATTTGCTGCAACTAGGATCTTCATGAAAATCGTCAGGCAGTCACAATTTTGTTAAGATTATAAAGGGAACTTTGTTTCTATACTCACTATGTGTCACCAGTAATAAATTCCTGTGCTGGTCTTTGAATAAATATAGCAACCATAGTTATATATAGAGGGATGAAGTAACCATAGAATACCTGACGAAAAACTAGACAATAATTAAGATAGTTGAAAATGGAATTTTGTCTTAATAATAACTTCTTTATATATTCAAGATTTTCCTTGATCAAGAGTGCAACCAGCCACGTTAGCTGCTGTCGATATGGACTTTACTGTCAGAGGAAAATTGGAAGTAAAAAAGATTTTTGCAGAGGTAATTTGATTGTTCCTTCAAAATTTATATTAGCCTTGCAGCTGAAATTCTTGTAGTGACCTTGTAATATATATCAACCGCCCAGATATATATTTTGTTATTTACTATAAGGGGGAATTTTTTGCAACTAGGATCTTCATGAAAATCATCAGGCAGTCACAATTTTGTTATGATTATAAAGTGAACTTTGCTTCTATACTCACTATGTGTCACCAGTAATAAATTCCTGTGCTGGTCTTTGAATAAATATAGCAACCATAGTTATATTAGAGGGATGAAGTAACCATAGAATACCTGACGAAAAACTAGACAATAATTAAGATAGTTGAAAATGGAATTTTTTCTTAATAATAACTTCTTTATATATTCAAGATTTTCCTTGATCAAGAGTGCAACCAGCCACATTAGCTGCTGTGGATATGGACTTTACTGTCAGAGGAAAATTGGAAGTGAACAAGATTTTTGCAGAGGTAATTTGATTGTTCCTTCAAAATTTATATTAGCCTTGCAGCTGAAATTCTTGTAGTGACCTTGTAATATATATCAACCGCCCAGATATATATTTTGTTATTTAGTATAAGGGGGAATTTGCTGCAACTAGGATCTTCATGAAAATCGTCAGGCAGTCACAATTTTGTTAGGATTGCTAAGTGAACTTTGCTTCTATGCTCTCTATGTGGTCACCAATGATAAATTCCTGTGGTGGGCTTTGAATAAATATAGCATATTTATATAGAGGGATGAAGTAACCATAGAATGCCTGACCAAAAACTAGACAATAATTAAGATAGTTGAAAATGCAATTTATATTAATCATGTGTTCTTGTAATATTCAAGATTTTCCCTGGTCAAGAGTGCAACATGAGTCGTGGATATGAACTTTACTGTCAGATGTACATTGATTGAAAAGTGAACAAGATATCTGCACTGAGGTAATTTGATTTTGTCATGGATGGTCAGCATTTGATTTTAAAAAGCCACTGCATTGTTGAGATGACAACAATGAAATTGAAATTTGCTTCTATGGTCACCATGTGTGAAACCAATGATGAAACTTAATGCTATAACAGCTGAACAAGTCTGGCTGATTACTATAATTCCTGTGGTGGTCTTACAATAAATATCCATGAAAAAGACCAGCAATTACTATTTTAAACTTGGGAGAAATTTTTCTGATTTCCATGTGATTTATATTTTGTAGTACTCAGAAGGGTGGTACCCAGTTTTTCTGTGTTCAAATTAAATAGTGACATATTTCTGGGTTGAATATATGCATGTGACACATTCTTTTTATTGAAAACAGGTAAGATATAATTGGCATAAAACAAAATGCATTCACGAATGTATTGTCTATCCATGAAAGATGGCTAAAGTAAGATAATGAGTAATATCTTTTAATGATGTCAGGTTGAAAATACAACTTTTTGCGTAAAAGGATTGATGAAATGCTTTTTCTCTTTAGAATGAATGAAGTTGAAGAAAGTTGAAAGGCACCCCAGAAGAACCTGAATTATTTTAGCCCTATCCTAGATTCATTGAATATTTTAGTGTGTGATAACATGTGTGAAATGTGATCAATTATGTGACAATTTTCAAAACTTGGATTTATAAAGAGAAAATTTTCTTTGTAATGTTTAAGAAGTAAACCTTTTTTGTCTGGTGGTGTTGGTGTTTTGATTTTGCATGTTTTTCCCTGTGCTTTCACAATTGAAAATATTTTAGCAGTTGCTTTTGGCTTTTTCTCATACTTCTTTTCTCTTTAATTTCTTCTTAGTATTAGTATTTTTTAAATATATTTTCTCTTATTATTTTTTTGATGAAATTCTTTTTTTCTTGGTGTTGAAGAAAGTTGAAAGGCACCCAGTTTCATTGATTAATATTTTTTAGTGTGAAATGTTATGAATAATGTGACAATTTTCAAAACTTGGATTTATAAATCTTTTTTCTTTGTAAAGTTTAAGAAATAAACCTTTTTCGTCTGATGGTGTTAGTGTTTTTATTTTGCAAGTTCTTCTGTGTGACTTGACAATTCTAAATTAAACCTCTTTATATTTTTTAGTATTTTTCTAAGTTAAACCTGTTAGTATTTTCTTCGATTGCTCTAGTTTTTTTTCTGTAGTTTTTTCTTCTATTTCTCTATTTTTTCTTTTATTTATCTAGTTTTTTTTCTATTTTCTCTTGTCTTTTATTCTCTAGTTTTTTTCTGTAGTTTTTCTAGTTAGTTTTCTTTTCTCTGGTTTTTTCTTCTATTTCTCGAGTTTTTTTTCTATTTATTTTTTTTCTCTAGTTTTTTCGTAATGTTTTTTTCTTGTTTTTTTCTCTAGTTTTTCTAGTTAGTCTAGTTAGTTTATTTTGCACGTTCTTCTGTGTGACTTGGCAATTCTAAGTTAAACTCTTAGTATTTTTTAGTATTTTTCTAAGTTAAATCTGTTAGTATTTTCTTCAATTGCTCTAGTTTTTTTTTCTTTAGTTTTTTCTTCTATTTCTCTATTTTTTCTTTTATTTATCTATTTTTTTTTCTATTTTCTCATGTCTTTTATTCTCTAGTTTTTTTGTGTAGTTTTTCTAGTTAGTTTTCTTTTCTCTGGTTTTTTCTTCTTTTTCTCTAGTTTTTTTTAATTTTTTTACGTAGTTTTTTTCTTCAGTTTTTTCCTAATGTTTTTTTCTTTTTTTTTCTCTAGTTTTTCTAATTAGTTTTCTTTTCTCTGGTTTTTTCTTCTATTTCTCGAGTTTTTTTTCGTTTTTTCTACTTAGTGTTTTCTCTAGTTTTTTCTTAATGTTTTTCTCTTGTTTGTTTTTCTAGTTAGTTTTTTTTCGGTTTTTTTCTTCTATTTCTCTAGTTTTTTTTTCTTTTTTCTCTTGTCTTTTATTCTCTAGTTTTTTTTTCTAGTTTTTCTAGTTAGTTTTCTTTTCTCTGGTTTTTTCTTCTATTTTTCTAGTTTTTTTCTATTTTTCTGCTTAGTTTTTTTCTCTAGTTTCTTCTTAATGTTTTTCTCTAAGTATTTTCTATATGTTTTTTGAAAAGTTTTAGAAAAAACTTGATTTTTGTCTTGTGGTCTCTGGTTTATTTTCTATTTTTTTCTTTTATATCTCTAGTTTATCTTCGAGATTTTTTTTTACGAAAAAGTATTATGTCTTGGGCTACCTGTGTCAAGCCAGACACAGGTAGCCCAAGATTGACACTGCTAGCCCAAGACAAAATACATCTTCGTAAAAAAAATCTTAGAGAATTTCAAAAAAGTGAAAAAAATTAAATTTTTTCACTCTCGAGAAAATCACCCGGTCAAATTTTCGTGAAAAAAAATTAAGGTAAGTAAACATGAGTTTTTTAAAAGCGGGACATTGTTAAATTTTTTCCCGGTTGATGTTCTTCATTTTCAGGCTTTTTAGAAGATTCTTGTTTTTAGAACTCTTTTTTCCTGTGCTTTTCTTTCAATTTTCAGGTACTTTTGAAGGCGATAGATTTTTTTTGGCTTTTATATTTCAAATTTTTTCCAATTTACTGTCTTTTGCAAAGGCCGAGAAGTATTTTAACTGTTTTAAACATTCTAAGTCACACTGAAATTTTTTAGGCTAATTTTGTTGCATTGCCAGGAGTTGAAGCATTAGTCCTCGGATTGAGAGACGAACGTCTTAACCATTAGACCACCGCATCATTTGTTGAAAGCTATTGTTCTTTATTTGACCTAATCCTTTTCGATAAAGTTTAAATTAAAGAATAATTTCGGTGGGAAAAATCGAACTTTTCCCAGGCAGGATTCGAACCTAGGTTCACAACCTGGTAGCCGGTAGTCTCAACCACTGGGCCACAGCATCATTTATCAATAGTTCTTGTTTTTTATTTACTAAATCTTATTCGAAGAATTTTAAATTAAATAGCAATTTAGGTGGGAAAAATTACACTTACCCTTGCAGGATTCTTAACCACTAGGCCACCGCATTGTGTGTTGATACGTGCCATAAAATAATACATTTCAATACTTAAAGGCAAAATTGACGACTTTTTCAATGTTCAAAAAACCAACCAAATATGATATAAAATGAAAGATATTAGTCTTTGGAAGCCATTTTTAGCATTTTAAGACAGTTTTTGAACCATTGATCAAAAATAACCAAATATGCTCTAAAATGAAAGATATTAGTCTTAGTAAGCTATTTTTAGCATTTAAAACAGTTTTTTAAACGTTCAAAAAGTCGTCAAAATTGACCAAAATGGTAAGGCTTACCCCTTACCATTTTGGTCAATTTGACGACTTTTTCAACTTTTCTAAAACTGTTTTAAAATGCTAAAAATAGCTTCCTAAGACTAATATCTTTCATTTTAGAGCATTTTAGGACACTTTTTGAAAAGTTGAAAAAGTAATCAAAATGGCTTACCCCTTACCATTTTGGTCAATTTTGACAACTTTTTGAACTTTTCAAAAAGTGTGTGAACTGTACGAAAATCAGAACTGAACTGTGTGTACTTTGCAAAAATCAGAACTGAACTGTGTGAACTGTACGAAAATCAGAACTGAATTGTGAATGAGCTATACAAAAATCAGAACTGAACTGTGTGTGAACTGTACGAAATTCCGAACTGAACTGTGTTGAATTGTACAAAAATCAGAACTGAACTGTGTTGAACTGTACGAAAATCAGAACTGAACTGTGTGTGAAATGTACGAAAATCAGAACTGAAGTATGAATGAACTATACAAAAATCAGAACTGAACAGTGTGTGAACTGTACGAAAATCAGAACTGAACTGTGAATGAGCTATACAAAAATCAGAACTGAACAGTGTGTGAACTGTACGAAAATCAGAACTGAACTGTGAATGAGCTATACAAAAATCAGAACTGAACTGTGTGTGAACTGTACGAAAATCAGAACTGAACTGTGAATGAGCTATTAAAAAATCAGAACTGAACTGTGTGTGAACTGTACAAAAATCAGAACTGAACTGTGAGAAAACTATACAAATATCAGAACTGAACTGTGTGTGAACTGTACGAAAATCAGAACTGAACTGTGTTGAACTGTACAAAAATCAGAACTGAACTGTGTTGAACTATACGAAAATCAGAACTGAACTGTGTGTGAAATGTACGAAAATCAGAACTGAAGTATGAATGAACTATACAAAAATCAGAACTGAACAGTGTGTGAACTGTACGAAAATCAGAACTGAACTGTGAATGAGCTATACAAAAATCAGAACTGAACAGTGTGTGAACTGTACGAAAATCAGAACTGAACTGTGAATGAGCTATACAAAATCAGAACTGAACAGTGTGTGAACTGTACGAAAATCAGAACTGAACTGTGAATGAGCTATACAAAAATCAGAACTGAACTGTGTGTGAACTGTACGAAAATCAGAACTGAACTGTGAATGAGCTATTAAAAAATCAGAACTGAACTGTGTGTGAACTGTACAAAAATCAGAACTGAACTGTGAGAAAACTATACAAATATCAGAACTGAACTGTGTGTGAACTGTACGAAAATCAGAACTGAACTGTGTTGAACTGTACAAAAATCAGAACTGAACTGTGTTGAACTATACGAAAATCAGAACTGAACTGTGTGTGAAATGTACGAAAATCAGAACTGAAGTGTGAATGAACTATACAAAAATCAGAACTGAACAGTGTGTGAACTGTACGAAAATCAGAACTGAACTGTGAATGAGCTATACAAAAATCAGAACTGAACTGTGTGTGAACTGTACGAAAATCAGAACTGAACTGTGAATCAGCTATTAAAAATCAGAACTGAACTGTGTGTGAACTGTACAAAAATCAGAACTGAACTGTGAGAAAACTATACAAATATCAGAACTGAACTGTGTGTGAACTGTACGAAAATCAGAACTGAACTGTGTTGAACTGTAAAAATCAGAACTGAACTGTGTTGAACTATACGAAAATCAGAACTGAACTGTGTGTGAAATGTACGAAAATCAGAACTGAAGTGTGAATGAACTATGCAAAAATCAGAACTGAACAGTGTGTGAACTGTACGAAAATCAGAACTGAACTGTGAATGAGCTATACAAAAATCAGAACTGAACTGTGTGTGAACTGTACGAAAATCAGAACTGAACTGTGAATCAGCTATTAAAAAATCAGAACTGAACTTTGTGTGAACTGTACAAAAATCAGAACTGAACTGTGAGAAAACTATACAAATATCAGAACTGAACTGTGTGTGAACTGTACGAAAATCAGAACTGAACTGTGTTGAACTGTACAAAAATCAGAACTGAACTGTGTTGAACTATACGAAAATCAGAACTGAACTGTGTGTGAAATGTACGAAAATCAGAACTGAAGTGTGTGAACTATACAAAAATCAGAACTGAACAGTGTGTGAACTGTACGAAAATCAGAACTGAACTGTGAATGAGCTATACAAAAATCAGAACTGAACTGTGTGTGAACTGTACGAAAATCAGAACTGAACTGTGTTGAACTGTACGAAATTCAGAACTGAACTTTGTGTGAACTGTATGAAAATCAGAACTGAACTGTGAATGAGCTATTAAAAAATCAGAACTGAACTGTGTGTGAAATGTACGAAAATCAGAACTGAAGTGTGAATGAACTATACAAAAATCAGAACTGAACAGTGTGTGAACTGTACGAAAATCAGAACTGAATTGTGAATGAGCTATACAAAAATCAGAACTGAACTGTGTGTGAACTGTACGAAAATCAGAACTGAACTGTGTTGAACTGTACGAAAATCAGAACTGAACTGTGTGAACTGTACGAAAATCAGAACTGAACTGTGTTGAACTGTACAAACATCAGAACTGAACTGTGTTGAACTGTACGAAAATCAGAACTTAACTGTGTGTGAACTGTACGAAAATCAGAACTGAACAGTGTGTGAACTGTACGAAAATCAGAACTGAACTGTGTGAACTGTACGAAAATCAGAACTGAACTGTGTGTGAACTGTACACAAATCAGAAGTGAACTGTGAGTGAACTATACAAAAATCAGAACTGAACTGCGTGAACTGTACGAAAATCAGAACTTAACTGTGTGTGAACTGTACGAAAATCAGAATCGAACAGTGTTTGAACTGTACGAAAATCAGAACTGAACTGTGTGAACTGTACGAAAATCAGAACTGAACTGTTAGTGAACTATACAAAAATCAGAACAAAAAATCGGAAGTTGAAAGTCAAAGCGTAAGGAAGTAGCGAAGAAAGAGAGAAAAAAATGAAACCGAAAATGAATATCAAGAAAAAAGTGAATCTCAAAAAAAAAGTGAATCCCAATTTGAATCCCAATGGAGAAAAAAAGTGAATAAGGAAGTAGTGAAAAAAGCCCCGCGAACCGGAAGTGACGTCATAATTAGATTTAGTAAGTGTGTCTGACCACGCCCATTGAAAAACTGGAAGTGAAAAGTCAAAGCATAAGGAAGTAAGGAAATAAGCCCTGCAGAATGGAAGTGACGTCATAATTAGATTAAGTGGGCGTGTCTGATCACGCCCACAAAAAATCGGAAGTTGAAAGGTAAAGCATAAGGAAGTAGCGAAATAAGCCCCGCCTACTGGAAGTAAAGTCGTAATTAGATTAATTAAGTAGGCATGTCTGTCCATGCCCACAAAAAATCGGAAGTTCAAAGTCAAAGCGTAAGGAAGTAGCTAAATAAGCCATGCTTACCGGAAGTTACATCATAATTAAATTAAGTGGGTGTGTCTGATCACGCCCACAAAAAATCGGAAGTTAAAAGTCAAAGCGTAAGGAAGTAGCAAAATGTGCCCCTACCACTGGAAGTGACATCATAATTAGATTAAGGGGGCGTGTCTGATCACGCCTACAAAAAATCGAAAGTTGAAAGTCAAAGCGTAAGGAAGTAGCGAAATTAGCTCCGCCTACCGAAAGTGACGTGATAATTAGATCAAGTGGGCGTGTTTGATCACGCCCCAAAAAATCGGAAGTTGAAAGTCAAAGCGTAAGGAAGTAGCGAAATAAGCCCCGCCTATCGGAAGTTACATCATAATTAGATTAAATGGGCATGTCTGATCACGCCCACAAAAATTCGGAAGTGGAAAGTCAAAGCGTAAGGAAGTAGCGAAATAAGCCCCGCATACCGGAAGTGACGTCATAATTAAGTTAAGTAAGCGTGTCTGATCACGCCCACAAAAAGTCGGAAGTTGAAAGTCAAAGCGTAAGGAAGTAGTAAAATAAGCCTTGCTCAATAGAAGTGAAGTCGTAATTAGATTAAGTGGGCGTGTCTGACCACGCCCACAAAAAGTCGGAAGTTGAAAGTCAAAGCGTAAGGAAGTAGCGAAATAAATCCCGCCAAGCGGAAGTGACGTCATAATTAGATTAAGTGGGCGTGTCTGACCACGCCCACAAAAAGTCGGAAGTTGAAAGTCAAAGCGTAAGGAAGTAGCGAAATAAACCCCGCCAACCGGAAGTGACGTCATAATTAGATTAAGTGGGCGTGTCTGATCACGCCCACAAAAAATCGGAAGTTGAAAGTTAAAGCGTAAGGAGGTAGGGAAATAAGCCCCGCCTACCGGAAGTGACATCATAATTAGATTAAGTGGGCGTGTTTGATCATGCCCACAAAAAATCGGAAGTTGAAAGTCAAAGCGTAAGGAAGTATTAAAATAAGCCTCGCTCACCGGAAGTGACATCATAATTAGATTAAGTGCGCGTGTCTGACCACGCCCACAAAAAATCTGAAGTTGAAAGTCAAAGCGTAAGGAAGTAGCGAAATAAGCCATGCTCATTGGAAGTGACGTCATAATTAAGTTAAGTAAGCGCGTCTGATCACGCCCACAAAAAATCGGAAGTTGAAAGTCAAAGCATAAGGAAGTAGCAAAATAAGCCCCGCCTACCAGAAGTGACGTCATAATTAGATTAAGTGGGCGTGTCTGATCACGCCCACAAAAAATCGGAAGTTGAAAGTCAAAGCGTAAGGAAGTAGCAAAATTAGCCCTGCCTACCGGAAGTGACGTCATAATTAGATTAAGGGGGCGTGTCTGACTACGATAACAAAAAATCGGAAGTTGAAAGTCAAACCGTAAGGAAGTAGCGAAATAAGCCCTGCTTACAGGAAGTGACGTCATAATTAGATTAAGTGGGCGTGTCTGATCACGCTCTCAAAAAATTTGAAGATGAAAGTTAAAGCGTAAGAAAGTAGCGAAATAAGCCCCGCCCACTAAAAATGACGTCATAATTAGATTAGGTAGGTGTGTCTGATTACGCCCACAAAAAATCGGAAGTTGAAAGTCAAGGCGTAAAGAAGTAGCGAAATAAGCCCCGCCCACCAGAAGTGACATCATAATTAGTATAAGTGGGCGTGTCTGACTACGCCAAAAAAAATCGGAAGTTGAAAGTCAAAGCATAAGGAAGTAGCGAAATAAGCCCTGTCCACTGCAAGTGATGTCATAATTAGATTAAATGGGCGTGTCTGACCACCCTCATTGAAAAACCGGAAGTCAAAAGTCAAAGCATAAGGAAGTAGCGAAATAAGCCCCGCGGACCGGAAGTGACGTCATAATTAGATTCAGTGGGCGTGTCGGTGATTCATAGCTTTAGGTTAAAGAAATTGTATATTACATACCAAACCCACAATATAAGGACTGCCAATGCTTTGCCTCTATCTGTATCTACAAAGAAACAAGACAATTGCTAACACTTATATGATAGAAATGTCTTTACGGAAATATTAAATATATGTTTTATTTCAGATATACATGTTTAACTTACATAAGAAAGAACATTATATTTTGAAGCTAGGATCAAGGGCATAACAAGGAATGGCATACTGGATCATCTCTTATTGATTTAGCGTTACTACAGCAGGAAACCTACACAAACTAACTATATTTACACTGGATAATTCTGTCAGTTCTAAACAGTTCCTCCTGCAGTAAGCAACATCTGTTGTTAAAAATCACCTACCAGCGTAACATATGTTTTGCATCATTCAACCATGAACAACGAATGATAACATCCTTGTCTGCAACAATATCACCCTGACTCTTTTCAATTTGCCCCTAGACAGGTTCAAACAACAGATATAAAGCCCAAGATGATAAGAAGCACATCCAAAATTGGAGTTACCTGAAACACATCAAGTAATAACATGTTTATTTCACATGTTTACATAACCTGTGTTTTCTCTATTATAAAATTATTGCCACCACTAAATGCGGAAGATACTTTTGAACCAAGAACATAACAAACTTATCATTAACCTACCATTTTCCTTCTGTTTTTAACATATCTGACTTCTAACTCACTGTATGAAATCAGTAAAAGCTTACATAGGTGTTTATTAAGTAGTGTGCTAAGAAATGTTGTTAATGACCAGACAACGAGGCAATAGATCATAATGAGCTTGCAACTGTATCTTTCACAATATAGCCAAATATTGGAGCAAATATCATATAGCTTGCAATAAATATTGTCTGGAGAAGGCCTCTTAAGGCATAATTTATGCTGAAAACAATGATTAAATAATGATTGTGTACAAAAATTATATTGCATTCACATGTGATAGCAATTCCGGGTAATGATAAGGGAGTGTAATCCTATCTTGTGTAATAATTGCAGTAAAATTAACAACCAGCATTTCCAAATTTTGCTTGATTGCATACAAAATATTAGTTGAATTTGATGTTGATATTGTTATTATATTTTAACTACAATGTATAGGTTGGGATGTTATACCAGGAAATTACATGACAATTATCAATTAATTGTCCGATTTTTAGAAGTCTTCACTTCAGCCTCACCATGCACAAATATTAAAGCATCTACGAAATTTTGCGAGGGTGAAGTGTCAGAAGCGATCCATATAGTTGAGTAAATCAAGAAAAAGATACCAACAGTGACTTATTAAAACACGAGGCGTAGTTTTTCTTTGTGGTGAATGTGGTTGAATTTTCAGGATTTTTTTTTTCATGCTCAGAGAAGTGAGAGAACGAATGGTGAAACATCATGTAATACGATAGGTAGCCCAACATTCGTGTTTTGTGCGCGTACATGCTACTCAGTGACTAGCATATATTAATTTATACTAAGGTTGGCAACTTTATCACCAATTATCAATAATGCATACATGTCAAACTTCGATAATTTGGATTCAAAACTATAGTCAAGAACCTCACCTGTGTCAACCGAAATAACAAAATCAATTCCAAAGTTTGCAGTGAACCCTCGCGCTTAGACCATGTGCTATCATAACTCACAGCAATCTCTGCAATATCTGACTCAACAATGACTGTGCTATTTCCATATCTAGGAGACTCATCATCGGTAACATTCAACTCTCCGCCTAATTCCCAATTATGCAAGGACTGAAATGCACTTGCTAGGTTTGAAAGTTCAATCATTCGATAACCATACTCGCCATCAAAATCCTCTCCTATCTATATCTTCACTTGTAAGCTTTCGTATTGAAGCAGTTTCATTCAGTGATGTTGACCCACATGGCATTGATGTCGATGATGAAACAAACTCAGAAGAGCTACTTTGACCATGGAAGCATGATTATCTTGCTCATAAATCTGAATCCTGCAATATTAGAACAGAGTACGAAGGTATTTTATTAACAAAATCATTATCTGAGTATAATCTTTTATCCAAATTTAATAATAATTCAACAATCACTGTAAAAATAATTATACACAGTATCTCAAACTTAGATAAAATCGACAAACTTACAGAGATATCTTCCAGTAGTTCTTTTTCAAAATATTTATTTGGTTGTCTTTTAAACGACAATTGTTGAATGGTTTTATAAAGCTCCACTCTTCACTCTTGATGCGTCCGCCATTTTAATTTAGTTTTTTGGATACTTCATGTTGTGCAAATGAAATGGATTCACACCAAAACGAAAAATATAAACAAAGCTCGCACATGCGTAGAAGCGAAAGGAAATTGCGGTGAAGAGCGGTGGAAATTGCGGTGAAGAGCGTGGAAATTGCGGTGAAGAGCGGTGGAAATTGCGGTGAAAAGCGGTGGAAATTGCGGTGAAAAGCGGTGGAAATTGCGGTGAAGAGAGCCGAAATTGCGGTGAAGAGCGGTTGAAATTTCTTATTTTTTTTGCCTGTTTTAAAGACACGGCTTCTGCGCGTGCGCCAGCCTGGGGACTCCACCGAAGTTGATAATCCCCCGGATTGTTCAGTCTAAAAACCATGACCAGCCGACAATTTAAGAAAGAAATTCTCAATCTTTCAAGAGCACTGAGTCATGTCGTCGAGTAGAAAAGAATATTATGCTAGTAGAGATGCCTCTAAAGTGTATTTGTTGGGTTCTTTCCCTCGATGGAGAGCGTTTAAGGAGCAGCATAAATTGAGAACAGACAAGGATGTGGCGGATATGCTTCTTGACAGCTATCTTGCGATGAATCGTATAGTTTGGTAAGTATAAAATGATAAAACCTCTGATCTTTTTTGTGTGTTATTTGTTTACTTGATTTGCTTTTTATGTATGTGTTGAACTCACTTTAGCAATGCAGACACGCAAACCGAAACAGTAATGGAATCAACGGATATGCCGCCAAGTACACCTTCCAAATATTTTTATTCTCCCAGTAAGAACATATGTTTTAAAGTGCTGCTCCAAAAACGTAAACATTTATTTTTTTAAAATATTCGCATAAAACATTCGTATGAAATATTTTATAGTTAAAACCTCAACGCCAAGCGCGCACTCAAATCTGCGTCCATTGTCTGCTTTGTCGGATGTTAGAACATCATACATCTCTACTGTGGAAGAAGTCATCCTTGAAGATGCAATCAAGAAGGAAAAGTGTATTGTGTTTACAGACACTCTTATAGCTTTGATAACATCATTAATGGGAGTGTTTGTAAACGACAAGGATGTGGTCGTGTGTTGAGCTATAAGAAAACATATGTTGGAACATGCCTGGTCGTATCCTAGGGGTGTAGGTCTGGTCATGTTGGAGGCAGATGGGCAGCTCAACCCTCTTGCAACAAGATTAGAGCAGGCAACCTTGTGCTTGCTTCTGCTTTGTTGTTGTCTGGCAATTCCTACGCCAAGGTGGGGTTGATGTTCAACTTCTGTAATCTGCAGTATTTCTCATCAATATTATTCAATCAGTATCAGAAGTTGTACATCATCCCTGCCATTAATGACTACTGGGAAGAACACAAACAGAAATGTTGGAAAGAAAGAGAGAACAAAGAGGTTATATTGAGTGGTGATGGAAGGAATGACTCGCCTGGCCATAGTGCACAATATTGTACTTACCGCTTGGCTGATACCAATGATCGTGCCATACTGCAAATGAATGTGGTTGATGTGAGAGAAGCTGCTGGTAAGAGCAATAATATGGAGAGGATTGGGTTTGAAAGAGGGATGGACACACTGCTTGCACCACCAATAGTTATGAAGGAGGTGGTAACTGATGGTCATATTGAAATTGCTGCATTGATGAGTAAGTATCTACATTATAACAATATGGCAATTCCTGAAACTCTAATAGTTCAACCTGTTATAATCAATATTGTCAGACTTTCAATAATTTAACAACTTCATTTGCAGATTGATTACAATGTTATATAATTAATTGTGTTTACCCTTTAAAAGACAGTAAGGGAATATTTACAACATGCATTTGTTTATTAATTAAGCATTATTGCATTTTTAGAAAGGGAAGAGAAATATAAGGAGGTCACACATCAGAATGATGTGTGGCATGGAGCAAAGAACATTGCAAAGAAAATCACTACTGTAAGTGTTGAAGATATCAACCAGCAATTAGTTAAAAAACTTTCTTTATTTAGAATTGATTTTATTCTTTAGGCTGCTAAATCTAAAGACAATGCAGATTTGACCTTGTGGGCACCATCTCAATAAGGAACCATTTTTGGTATTGTTCAAAAACATGTGCTAATGACTCAAAAAATCTCAAAGTAAGATTCACATTGAAGTACTACTGGTTTTTGCAGCAATACTTATCTAGTTCGTGCAAACTGTACATACATGTGTTAATATGTAGTCACTTTATGTTGTTTTTTTATATTTTTTAATAGGATAAGTGGATTGGTATTTTACACCATGTTGTTGATGAGCATGAGTGGGTGTTGGAGGAAGGTGTAAATGGTGGAAAATGTGAACATGATCCTCTTAATGAAAGTGAGAGAAAGAAGCCATGGCTTAAGAAAGAGTCTTCTGCCCATAAAGCACTGGCAAAGATCATTCTGGACACTCGCTTTTTAAACACTTTGGTGTATTATGTTAACTTCAGGTAAAATGAGATTGGATATTTGAAAATTTCAGATAAGTTATATCATCTCAAAGTTTGAAATATTTTTTAGGCACACAGGATTTTTAGAGTCCTTTCATAATGTAATTTTGATGTATGCTCCAAAGCCCATGCCTATTCGTAAGTATATGACATATTATTACAAAGGTAACAGCTAATAAAACTCCTATCATGGTTGATTTCCATGCAAGGAAGCATTGTTAATAAAAAAAATGTTGATGTTTGTTGTATCTTCAGATACTCAGTATACCAAGCTAGAAACCAGCTTGCTGCCTTGGACTTTAACCACCACAGAGGCCGAGCACCAGCAACTACAGCTGATGGGAAAGAAAGGTACTGGTATTGAAATTTTTGCCTTAGTGTTCCCATCTTAAGTGTGAACAACTTTTCAGGTCCTGTGCATTCTTATAGTGTAATGGTACTCATATTGTATGGAATTGTAAAGTTGTTTTTTTTATTAGGTACGGTCGGAAGTTCAGTAAGCGTACACAACAGTGGTGCCGTGTTCGTGTTCTTGTACCAAAGAATTTAGTTACATTCCTGAACTGATGCAGAAGGTTTTTATAAAGAGGATCACATCAGAAGGGAATGTAAACAAAAGACTTGGTATTCCAAGTGATGATCCTAGACAAATTGCACCCAATATTGCCCCTGTTCCTCCTCCATCAGTACAGACACTTGTCGACACACATAAAACAAGATTTTAATGGTTGTGTGTAAAATCAAGTTACTTTAGGTAGGTGGAGCTCATTAGTCATGGTAGGCAGTTCACCTAAGAGAAGGAAAACTCTAATTTCAAACCCCCAGACCCTAGGTCAGGCTGTCCATGTCGGAATCATTGATGTTATCATCATTTCATTTGTGTTTCCTAGGCATGCTGACGAGCTCTGATATAGAGCGAAACAGCCATAAATTTAAGAGCCCATTATCAATGAAATATGACACATAATATCTTAAATGAAATGTTTTAATAAATTATTATGATATATGTATAGGGTGTCCCAAAAAACTAAACACTTTGAAATTGGAAAATTAGCATTTAGGTTGATGCTAATCATGCACATGGACAATTACAACAACTAAATCAGCATTACAATGTATGAAGACTAAAATGAAAAATTTACCCAGCTATATATTTTATTACCTGCCTGGCTCAGCCCAATTCTAAAAATGTTCACTTGCATTGTATAAATATAATATAATATATAATAATACTTTATGTTTTGAGCATTAATATTTTTTGGGCCTGCTATAACATCAGACCAAAAACATATTTATGCCCACAAACATCGATTGTGGTTTATTTTGGTCTACTTTTTGGGGGCACCATTTATACTTTAAGTGCTAAATTATCTAAACACGTGCAGGCAAATTCCCTGTACTGTCCATTAGGTGAAGGATAACAGTTACGAATAGCAACCACACAACAGCTTGGTACTACTCTCCATTTCCTCTTCCTAATCTACCATGTTGCCATAGAACATACTGTCTATATGCAGCATGGCGAAAGTTTTCATTGTTCCTGACATTGTTCAACACCAAAACATCTTCTCTGTATCGCATTGAGATCTCCAAAACATTCCCATCAAGGATTAGTTGACTGAAAAGATTTGTTCTTGAGATACAAGGACGTCTTGATCGGGTGCAGCATTTGTTCTCTTCTTGAGTGGGCATAATAATGCAGCACCCACACTTGCACCAATCTGGAGCATCATTATCAGGTTCTGGGTTTGGTGGTTGGGGTTCATTTCCTCTCACAAGCTCACCATTAACAATGTCAGCAAATGCTGCTGGCTGTCTTCTTAGCAATTCAATAGCAAGCCTTCTCAGGTTGTCTATATTCATTGCCTCAACTAGATCCTGAAATCAGCATAAGAGTAAAATATAAGATATGCTGCATGTGGTATTATGTTTTATTGTTTTTACACAAAGGCTTTTAAGAATAATTGTATGAAATCAAGTGTTGACAAAGGCTCATCTTACCACTAAATGCTGCTCATGATCTGCTTGATTTTCAGCAATATTTGGCTCTTCTAACAAACGCCCTCTCCCGCTACCTCTTCCACGACCTCTTCCACTACCTCCCCTTCCACATCTCTGTGAAGCAGTACCTTGCCCTCTTCCCTGACCTCTTGCTCTCCCCCTTGGATGATCTCTTCCCCTACCACGTCCTCTCTTTTCAATCTGCAGCTGCTGCTCGCCCTCATTCTCACTTTCCTCTATAGTGAACTCAGAGTCCTAGATAATTGCAGATCACAAAGTAAACAAAGTGGAAAAATATTTCCACAATGAAACCAGCCCTCTTGGCTCTCTCCCACCCATATACTTAAAGAATGACATAATCTTACTTACACTCTCATCACTATCGCTTTCTTGAACAAGTCGGTTGTTCATGCAACAGCCAAAGTCTTCGCCATGACACGCGCTCCAACACAAGCTATTGATGCTTCTGCACGGACAGAAATTCCGTCCTTTTTCACGAAGACAGTGCCCTCTATATTTGCACACTGTGATTTTGTCACGGTTAGGCATAGCCGCTGCGTTTTCCAAAACATTAGCTTCGAAATCTTCAAGCGAAAAGCTTCCTTCAATTGCTCCTGCCATGACTGTGACCACCCTGGTATGAATGAGTTTTCGATGGCGGAAAGATATCGCACATTACTAACACTTCCAAGGCTATCAAGTCCCAAATATAAACAAACCAAAAGCGAACCGATTAGAACTCGCGCCTTTGTATGACAACTTCGGCCACCGCTCCAGCTGTTAATCTACGATTTCAAAGCGGCTTTTCATCCACTGTTGTAAAGTGTTTCCGTAAAATGTTGTATTTGCTTATTTTCGGTTTTTTCTATAGTTTTTTTCCGCAAAATATTTTTGAAAGAAGCGTCGCTCCTCTCTTTTTTTGTTAATAAATCATTGCGAATATATGATATACTTCATGTTGTAGAATCATTGCGGATCAAAACAAAAAATGTAAACAAAGCTCGCACATGCGCAGAAGCCGCTGTAACCTGTCTTTATACTTTTTATAAAGCATGCACAATACAAAAGAAAAAAAAATTACGCATATAAACTTAGATATAAACTAGAGAAAACTACTTTATCTTATATCTTTATCTCCAAGGACTACCACGAACACACATTCGCTGCGAGCAAGCCTTTACGTTTCTCCTTCCCCATCTTTCGGCGCCATAGTTCGTTCTGAAATCAAATAAGCAAGGAAAAACTAAATTAAAGTAACCGCTCTCTTGCATTTGACATTTTCAACCGGAATATACAAGATGAAGCAGTAAAAATCGGCAGGAATATCACCACGTACCTAAGCAAGACTTCCAACTTTTCCCGAACTTCTTCGAGACTGCAAGTGCAAAGACTGAGTTTCGTCTAGATTGTAGGTTCAACTGCCTTTTATTACTTCAAAGACAATGTTTTAAACCGTGGTTTTAAACAGGAGGCCTGGTAAATTTCAAAATTTTCTTGGAGGAGGAGATGCCCCCCCCCCCACATCTTCGTTCCCAGGTTTTTGGAGTACAGGAGATGCCCTCCCCCTTGACAGTGCTCTATCCCCGCGGCCCTGACCATGAGGACCTATTACGTGCTAATCCCAATGCCAGATATTTCCTATTTATTACGTAAATTACGTAATGATTCCACAACCATCTTTTTAAAATTCTTTTACGACAGTGTTCTGGGAATCGAACCCAGAAGCCACAAACGCGTTTTTATCACTATCAAACAACACGTTTTGGTTTGGCCCCAGGCCTGGACACTCTTTTTAAAGCCAAACGAAAAGGAGGGAAACCGGAGTGCCCGGTGAAAAACCCTCCAAAGGTAACCTGAATTTCAGGTTACCTGACCGGCGGTCCGAATTTGGTATTTTTATTAGAAATCGTTCGCAATGACATGCACTTCAGTTTTTATCTATAATTCATCGTTTCAGCTCCGCTAATTTCAAACCGAGTCCCAGGAATTGCCATGCAATTCTTGATCCTCGTTAATTCGATTCTTCTGGTGGTCTAACCTGCGGAGCGCGCGCATATTTAGAGCGCGCAAAACATCATGCTCTTAGACATTCAACTGCGCTTTGTCCGACAATGGCAACGAAAATTATTTCCGAATTATTCAAATGTTCATTTTATGATAAAAAAATACTTTTTCACGACTTGCATGCTTTATCATATCAAACTGATGTAGACAATAACACTTTTCTTCTACCCCTTTTTTAAGACATGCCTCATGCACTGTTTTTATTTTTATTTTATACGTTCTGGATTACGGTTGACCGAATATGAAGGAAATAAACGTAATCGGGCTGAACATGCAACTTACTCAATATAGCTAATCAATAATGTCCCCTTACCTTTAAATTTTCGTAACGTATAATTACCTTTGGTAAACAATGTATCGAATTTCACTTGCTTCGTTGCTCCACTCCAAACAGTTATGTTCTTCTTCAACAGCATCTCGACGGTTGGGCGTGTAAGAAATTAAACAACATAGTAAGTGTGTCAAAATGCAAAGGGTTTTCTTTAAAGGGTTGGCTTTTCAGGCAAGAGAGTACTATACAATATTAAACCTACAGTTTAAACATTATACCTCGAGATACCCCCACTATAAGTCCAGTTATCATGCAATGCAATATGGGAGGTATATTTTCTCCTCTTATACAAATTTCATCAAGTTAGTCAAAGTGATTAGATAACGTTTATTTCCTTCATGTTCGGGATTAATCGGATTTTTCAAAGCTTACAACTGCAAACCAAAAAATTAATACGAACAGCAAAGCACTCATTTTTTTTTCACTTCAAACTTCAAAATTCCATGCTAAGGTATAATTTTTGTTGCCACTGACGGACGGTCCTTCGAAACGCATTATAACAGGCTGAACAGAGAACTTATATAATCATATAAGTACTCGCGATTACCTTCGTATTAATCTAAAATTAGGCTAATACGAATTCGATATTTTCTCTAACAAATTGCATTTTGTTAGTTTCTTTTGAACGCTTTAAAGCCATCATGCATACGCAGACGCTACGTCGTTGGATTTCACACTTATTCACACAAGTGACAAAACTAGGAATTTTTTATCGAGAAAACTCGAAAAATGCCCTCATAAGAGCTGTGAGAAATTTCCTGTTATCATGCATAGTCGAAAAGGTTGAAATGCCACTTGATGTGTGAATGTATTAGGTTAGACCACCAGGAGGATCCAATGCCATGCAGCATGCACATGCACTAATCATGCATACCTATAGTATATACCTCAACCAGCTTCCACTTGATCCTGCGACGCTCCTCTAACATCTAATTCATCACTGATCCTGTGACGCTCCTCCAACATCTAATTCATCACTGATCCTGCGACGCTCCTCCAACATCTAATTCATCACTGATCCTGCGACGATCCGTCTGGTCCTGCGACGATCCTTCAACATCTGATCCTGCAACGATACTTTAGAACAAAGATATGATATTAATTTCCAAGTCACAAATATCACTTAGATACCAGTATCATACCATACCATACCATACCACACCATCTGATCCTGAGACGATCCTTCAACATCTGATCCTGCAACGATACTTTATCAAAATGATATGACATTAATTTTCAAGTCACAAATATCACTTAGGTAGCAATACCATACCATACCATACCATACCATACCATACCATATACACCATACCATACCATACCATACCATACCATCTGATCCTGCGACGATTCTTGAACATCTGATGCTGCGATGATCCTCCTGATCCTGCGACGATCCTTCATCATCTGACAACAAAAGTATGATATGAATAATTTCCAAGAGAGAAATGTCACTTATGTATAAAGCACTTAGGGTAAATTATATCGAACCTCCAACACTCCAACGTCAGTCACTCGTGGCCTTCGCATTGCGCACGCGAATACAAAATGTCATGCACGTTTTAATACAAAATATCATGCACGTTTTAATACAAAATGTCATGCACGTTTTAATACAAAATGTCATGCACGTTTGAATACAAAATGTCATGCACGTTTTAATACAAAATATCATGCACGTTTGAATACAAAATGTCATGCAGGTTTTAATACAAAATGTCATGCAGATTTTAATACAAAATGTCATGCACGTTTTAATACAAAATGTCATGCAGGTTTTAATACAAAATGTCATGCACGTTTTAATACAAAATGTCATGCAGGTTTTAATACAAAATGTCATGCACGTTTTAATACAAAATGTCATGCAGGTTTTAATACAAAATGTCATGCACGTTTTAATACAAAATGTCATGCACGTTTTAATACAAAATGTCATGCACGTTTTGGTACAAAATGTCATGCACATTTTAAAACATAATGTCATGCACGTTTTAATACAAAATGTCATGGATGTTTTCATACAAAAGTCATGCACGTTTTAATACAAAATGTCATGCACGTTTTAAAACAAAATGTCATGCACGTTTTAATACAAAATGTCATGGATGTTTTCATACAAAAGTCATGCACGTTTTAATACAAAATGTCATGCACGTTTTAAAACAAAATGTCATGCACGTTTTAAAACAAAATGTCATGCACGTTTTAAAACAAAATGTCATGCACGTTTTTGTACAAGAAAGAAAGAACACTGGACTATCATCTCCTTCTAGAAATACATATTTCATGTTTTTATGTTTTAGGCGCTCTTTGAGCGATATTTTTGTCCGGACTATATAGTCGTCAAGATGGAGAAAACACAAGTGATTGGGGCCCCAGAATCACTTGTATTCACTCCGCATGCGCTTGATACGACTAGACTTCATGCAAAAATCATGCACAGGCGAAAAACTTGAAAATGAAGGAGGTAAACAGAAGAGTGTTCAGTTTATATCTCAGTCAAAAAAGCCAAATTCCATATAATTTTTACTCATGCATATTGTCGAAATCGAGTTTTGTATTTGCGTGCATAAATGTCCCAAGGCATGTCCGACATCGCTTTACGATTCTTTCGTTCTACAAAAACAGAACTTCGGTAAAACAAAAGAACAGGGAAGTCTAGCATAGTACAATCATATACCAATACAAATAATTATATAGGCATTGAGTTTCCGTCTTTCCCTTTCAAAACGAGCATTCCCTTTGTGCAACCCTGTCCGAAAAACGAATAGGCCAGCCTGGAAAGTTAGTTTCAGTCATAAAGTTCGAATTCATTTCTATATATCAAAACTATTCTAGTTTCGTCCACCCCGACTGTCCGTAAACAAAGTACAAACGTGTTTTTTCAAGTCACAAATGCAAAATACACATATATTAATAGAACAATACCTATTATTCGCTGCGAGCAAGCCTTTACGTTTCTCCTTCCCCATTTTTCGGCGCCGTAGTTCGTTCTGAAATCAAATAAGCAAGGAAAAACTAAATTAAAGTAACAGCTCACTTGCATTGGACATTTTCAATCGAAATATACAAGATAAAGCAGTAAAAATCGGCAAGAATATGACTCCATTCGCTCACGTCTTCCCACGCTATTCAAATCAACACAGCGATCAGTAAATTTGTTTACAAAGCCAAAGATCAATCCAAAAGCTGTTCAAACTAACAATCACCATGTACCTACCAGAATCTTCCAACTTTTCCTGAACCTCTTTGACTGATGCTTCCTTTTCGAGACTGCAAAGACTGAGTTTCGTCTAGATTCAACCGCCTTTTATTACTTCAACGACAAAGAAAATTCCAACGGACAATTTTAGCATTGACAACAATAGATAATCAACTAACTCATGGCAGATTTGCCCGGAATGGATATAAATTAGCCAAATAAAAATGTTTTGCATATTTCTATTGTCCGTTGTAAGTGATTATAGCAAAATTCCGCTCCGTGAACTATAACTCTTAGTTTGATTTTAAAGCCTTCTCTTTTCGCGTTAATCTTTTCAAACTAAAACTACAGGGTGTCTCAAAAAAAAACGCAACCACTTATTTTCTAAAATTCATATTGTTCATAAGCTCAATAGATTTTATTCCCCTGGGATTTAAAAATGGCTTCTAATCGTACAGTTCAACTGCTAATAGTCAAATCAGCTAAACTAATAATGGTGCAGCTAACAACCGAACGAGTTTTTATTGTCGTGCATGATAACTTGAATGCTAACTGTCGACCTTGTCAAATAAATTGTAAATAACATTTTACTCGTTAAATACTTTCAATTCAGCTCGTTGGTTTACGCACCCGACTTTGTTTACCGACGATTGTGCCGCTAGAATATGATTGCGTTTTTTTTGATAAACCCTGTATAACAACTTTTTTCTCTGTACCTTCTTTAACGCTATCTTAACGTAAAAAAATGATCATCATTGGCCATTGCAGGCAGAATCAGAGCTCGAAACTTTTCATAACCTTGTACGCAGAGTATTTCATATTGAAAACAAATAATACAACAATTATGTCAATAAAGCTGGAGATAAATGTAAGAGTAAAGACACACATATTACAGACACATTCCAGTTCGCCCAATGCAAGCACACTTTACCAAATTATGCTAAGAAACCGGGCAAATAAAGACAGACAACACAAAATTGAAAAATACGACGGTTGAAAAAAATTATCCTAACTGCATCATAGTATTTTTATGTATATAAATATTACAAAGTGAAATAAATAAACGTATAGATTAAAAATGACTATCTACGAATTTGACCTAGTGTTGGAAAACGTTATCTATAGTGACCATTAAGTGTTGGAGCAGTTCACCAGCAGTGCATGCTCATGTAGGTGCAATGAAAAAAGATTGAAGTTCAATAATATTGCGAGATCATTGTAAAAACATGCTCCAAAACTGTCGAACAGTGTTCTATTGTGGAAATTGATTTGCGAAGATATTATGTGAGGCTCTTTTCAGTCTATCTCCTCCAAATTAGATTTAGGAAAGAAATGAAGTTCCATTTTTGTGAGATCTCAAAAAAAATCCTAGGTGAAGTGATTTCATTCAAAAGTCGGTTGTTTATAAGCGTCTGATTTGCCGCCACATTTCTGCCAACTAAATTCAAATTCACGTTTTGTTATTTCAGCGCCACGTTTGCGAGTCAAACCTGTTTCATCCAGACTCAGCTCGCACATATCAAGATCATCTGTGCCCGCGACCAGGACAACGTTCACTCCGTTCGGGTGTATCTCCAGCTGGCGGGCTATCCATTGCCCGTCAAAATGGGCGAACCAGTACCCGCGCTTCTTGAAGTCGTTGTCACGATACTCGTCACCGGGCTTCACAAAGGGAACGCGGAAATATCGCTGTGGTCGACGCGGGGGAAGTCTGGAAGTTGGCTTACTAACGCTTGCATGACTTGCAGCTAAAACGAGAAATTAAACGTTTGAGAACTGATACAGAGCTATCCAGTATGAAAAAAGTTAATTTAGTAAGAGATGATTGGACCTCTAGGAAGAACAGTTTAGAACTGATAGGGCTATCCAGTATAAGTAAAGTTAGTTTAGTTTAGGTTTCCTCCTGTAGTAACACTGGATCAATAAGAGATGATCCTTACTGGACCTCTACGAAGAACAGTTTAGAACTGATAGAGCTATCCAGTATAAGTAAAGTTAGTTTAGTTTAGGTTTCCTCCTGTAGTAACACTGGATCAATAAGAGATGATCCTTACTGGACCTCTAGGAAGAACAGTTAGAAACTGATAGGGCTATCCATATAAGTAAAGTTAGTTTAGTTTAGGTTTCCTCCTGTAGTAACACTGGATCAATAAGAGATGATCCTTACTGGACCTCTACGAAGAACAGTTTACAACTGATAGAGCTATCCAGTATAAATAAAGTTAGTTTAGTTTAGGTCTCCTCCTGTAGTAACAACAGTTCAGAACTGATTAATGAACTTGTTAAAATAAAAGCATATAATGTTGATATTAACTATTTCCCAACCTTCTTCCACGACCTCTTGAGGTGCTCTTTGATCACCAGCACTTTGACCTGTCGACTTCGATGCCTTATTTTTATTTTTCCACTGATGATAAACCTTAAGACGGCGATGGAACTCTTGTTTACAAGCTTCTAATAACTCGACATCTAGAAAAACAAAAACAGAAGTCCATATTTTGTATTCAAAACTAACCTTTCCACAGGAACCAAGTAATGACAACAACACATACCGCACGAGGTGTTGATGGTGTCTCTTAACTCAGCGTATTTCCATTTACTCAGGTCATATTTCTTATTCGGATCTTTCAAGGAAGCCGCCCTGTTGCAAAACAAGTTCATTTTTTAGTATTTTGTTTGTGATAGCTGATGAGAATAAAGTATGTTTAGGTTTTTTTCCTGCATGTAGTAACACTGGATCAATAAGAGATGATCCTTACTGGACCTCTAGGAAGAACAGTTTAGAACTGATAGAGCTATCCAGCATAAATAAAGTTAGTTTAGTTTAGGTTTCCTCCTTTAGTAACACTGGATCAATAAGAGATGATCCTTACTGGACCTCTAGGAAGAACAGTTTAGAACTGATAGAGCTATCCAGTATAAATAAGTAAAGTTAGTTTAGTTTAGGTTTCCTCCTGTAGCAACACTGGATCAATAAGAGATTATCCTTATTGGACCTCTAGGAAGAACAGTTTAGAACTGATAGAGCTATCCAGTACAAATAAATAAAGTTAGTTTAGTTTAGGTTTCCTCCTGTAGTAACACTGGATCAATAAGAGGTGATACTTACTGGAACTCTAGGAAGAACAGTTTAGAACTGATAGGGCTATACAATATTATAAAATATTTACCTTATAATAGCTTTTTGTTCCTCCATGGGTTCTACATTCGAGTTGGATTCCTAAAATGAGAAAAAATTAGTATAGGCTTAATTCTGTCTAGCAGAAAATGAACATAAACTTCCACACAGTTGAACAGTTAAACTGAAGCATTTAGTAGTATTAATCGCCAAAGAAATTGAAAAAATATTGAGATATAATACCTTTGCCAAACGCAAGGCCAGTTCGTGATCTAATCTCTCTTGTTCAAGAGCAGCTTGTCTGAAATAATAAAATTTTACATTGAAAAAAATATCAGATTTAAAGCATTACGTGTGAGTCTATAAAAAGGACTCGGGAATTTTTTTGTAAAACCTCGCAAAGATGTTTACATGGTAGAAAAAATAAGTTCATACCGAGATTTTGCCTCTTCTTCCTCTTTCCTTAATTGTTCCTCAATTTCTTTCTAAAAAACCCAGGAAAGATTCACCGTAAAAATATTGCCAGAGGTGATCAAGTATGGTACGACATTAATACATAAAAAGTTTTGAAAATAATTATATTTATTTATCGTAATAATGCTCAAAACCTGTTTCGCTTTTTCAAGTTCCCTCCGTTTCATTTCTTCCTCTTCTGCCCTTCGCCTTTCGGCTTCCATTTCAGCTTTACTAAAACACACAAAAAAACAAAATGTACACATTTAAATATCGTACACAGCAAGCGCTCATATTCTAGCCAATCAGTGCTGGGCAAGGTTTTCAAAATAGAAAACCATTCTGCAGTATTTAATCCATCATATCTTTTGTTATTCTTTATGAAACTAGCCGAAATTTCGTGAACATGTTTAGTTATAAGAACTGCGATAAATGTGACATATACTTCAAGTGATATTAAGTTGTTTCAACCGAGGATTTGATTTTTGTTTGACAAATAGTCAAAATCTATTTCCGCCATTTTGGATCATCTGGTGTGATAGTTATTCCGAGAAAAACTACCATATCTTAACTCGACGAGAGGGAAAAAGCAGAGGATATCGTTGAATGTAAAACTTGATCATTTTAAACTTACATTCTCGCTTCTTCTTCGAGTTGTTTTCTTCTTCTTTCCTCCTCTTCTCTCCTTTTTCTTTCCAGTTCCATCTGTTCTTTGATTTTCCTCAACTTCTCTTCTTCCTCCCTCTTCTTCTGAAGTTCTTTTTGCTTCTGTAAATCTACAACTTGTTTGTCCACCTTCGCCACAAGACTCCGGTGGAGATTCTCGATCTGATCACGGCTCATTATCGTGTTCTAAAATGCAGCACCAAGAGATTATTAGATCGACAATGATACATAACAGACGGGCCTTCAACAATTAACACTCCTTGATAAGTTCCTGAGGCAGCATTTCAACACGTCTACTAACCTTGATTTTCTGCATAGCAGCTGATATTTCTTTTTCGATATCAGAAATCTGTTTGGTCAGAACATTCTTGTCGGTTTTTAAACCTGAAACTACATTGAAACAATAAGGAAACCGTCAGTGGAGGTGTTGTAGAATCACCCCCAACTGTTACTACAGGAAGAAACCTAAACTAAACTAACTTTATTTAGCTCTATCAGTTCTAAACTATTCTTCGTAGAGGTCCAGTAAGGATCATCTCTTATTGATCCAGTGTTACTACAGGAGGAAACCTAAACTAAGGTAACTTTATTTATACTGGACAGCTCTATCAGTTCTAAACTGTTCTTCCTAGAGGTCTAGTAAGGATCATTCCTTACCAATACTGTTCATTGTTTCTAATCGAGAATGAAGTCTTTTAATCCTAGTCATTCCTTTATATCTGTGAAAAACAAAACGCAAAGTCTGATAAGCTTGTGCTTCATTAACTAATTATGAATACTTGGAAATAGTTGATCTTAAGAGATTTTGGTGGAATAGTTTTATTGTCCTCAGTAGAAATTTGTAAACTCCTGATATACCTTGGCTGGTGTTTCTTCCACGCGAGGAACATTTTGACGGTCTTCTGAATCGTGACACAAGCTTTTGCTCTGAACTTGATCTTGTTTGCCACTGTTGAAGGAAGACATGAGAGTTAGAACCAGATTTTTGACTTTATATCCAAGATTTTTCAGCGAAGTCAAGCATATAGAGAGAATTGTCACTCACATTTCTGGACTGAGATTGCGCACCATATCGCTTTCTTCCAGCGATTGACAACAATCCACCTTGAAACTTTCGACACAAGAGCTTTTAGACTCTCAGGATCTGACTGCATTATTTGATCAAATGCTGCAAACTACAATAATGAAAATGAACTTAGCCATGTTTTAGTGTAAACCTATCAATAAATCAATCACTTTAACAAGGTTACGATAATCTTACCTTTCCTGGTCTAAAAAATACTTTCGTCAACCCAAACTTGAAATCTTCAGGATCCATGCCGACCGCTCTGAAGAGCGCCTGATAATAAAGTTTGTTGGAAAATTGTTCATTAAAATATCATAAAATAGAGGTGGTTTAAGTTTAACAACGATTCATTAATTTCGAGAACAAGAAAGTGCAATTACAAATGAGATATGCGATATTTACCTGACAGAAGGTTCTTGGATTGAGTCTCGCTAACTTTTCTGGCAAATACTTTCCATACCTTGAAAGAAATGTGATACAGTTCACAGTGATACACTAGCCCTTATAACCAGTTTTGTATCAGGAGCCGGTTGTATCAAGCCCGTTTAGCTTAAACGGTGGATACGTCAAAATTAAATAACACTTTTACATCTCTCTTGAATGACTCAACTTGAATATTATGCACTGAATATGTAGTTGTAAACAGTATCTTTGTATTAAGGTTAAAAACATTTAGTTTGCTTGTTGAATAAAACGATAGACTTGCTTTCTATTTTGAACTTATCCACCGTTTAAGCTAAACGGGTTTAATACAACCGTCTCCAGTTCAGTTTCTGCTATGCAACTTAATACACTTACATTTTGTACAGATCATTAAACGATGTTCTTGAAGGATATCCTTCTTGCATGAGTTGTAATACTGAGACCATTCCTGCACACTCCAGTTGACCCAGTATAGATCCTCCTTCGAAGCTACTGCTCTGCATTGTTCCATTGGGTTTGATACAACGAATGAAGTTCGCTCCCTTGAGACGAGAAAATAACGAAAAATCATAAATAACGTGATTTTGAGAACAGATAGACGATTATACTCACCGTGTTACGAAGTTTCTCCATTAACTTGTTCAACTGATTCTAAAACAAACCGAAAAACAGATTAAACATTGTTGTATAAAGTTAGTTTAATTTAGGTTTCCTCCTGTAGTAACACTGGATCAATAAGAGATGATCCTTACTGGACCTGTAGAAAGAACAGCTTAGAACTGATAGAGCTATCCAGCATAAATAAAGTTAGTTTAATTTAGTTTTCCTCCTGTAGTAACACTGGATCAATAAGAGATGATCCTTACTGGACATCTAGGAAGAACAGTTTAGAACTGATAGAGCTATCCAGTATAAATAAAGTTAGTTTAATTTAGGTTTCCTCCTGTAGTAACACATGATCAATAAGAGATTATCCTTACTGGACATCTAGGAAGAACAGCTTAGAACTGATAGAGCTATCCAGCATAAATAAAGTTAGTTTAATTTAGTTTTCCTCCTGTAGTATTACTGGATCAATAAGAGATCATCCTTACTGGACATCTAGGAAGAACAGTTTAGAACTGATAGAGCTATCCAGTATAAATAAAGTTAGTTTAATTTAGTTTTCCTCCTGTAGTAACACATGATCAATAAGAGATAATCCTTACTGGACCTCTAGGAAGAACAGTTTAGAACTGATAGAGTTATCCAGTATAAATAAAGTTAGTTTAGTTTAGGTTTCCTCCTGTAGCAACACTGGATCAATAAGAGATGATCCTTACTGGACCTCTAGAAGGAACAGTTTAGAACTGATAGAGCTATCCAGTGTAAATAAAGTTAGTTTAATTTAGTTTTCCTCCTGTAGTAACACTGGATCAATAAGAGATCATCCTTACTGGACATCTAGGAAGAACAGTTTAGAACTGATAGAGCTATCCAGTATAAATAAAGTTAGTTTAGTTTAGGTTTCCTTCTGTAGTAACACTGGATCAATAAGAGATGATCCTTACTGGACCTCTAGGAAGAACAGTTTAGAACTGATAGAACTATCCGGTATAAATAAGGTTAGTTTAGTTTAGGTTTCCTCCTGTAGTAACACTGCATCAATAAGAGATGATCCTTACTGGACCTCTAGGAAGAACAGTTTAGAACTGATAAAGCTATCCAGTATAAATAAAGTTAGTTTAGTTTAGGTTTCCTCCTGTAGTAACACTGGATCAATAAGAGATGATCCTTACTGGACCTTTAGGAAGAACAGTTCAGAACTGATAGAGCTATCCAGTATAAATAAAGTTAGTTTAATTTAGGTTTCCTCCTGTAGTAACACATGATCAATAAGAGATGATCCTTACTGGACATCTAGGAAGAACAGCTTAGAACTGATAGAGCTATCCAGTATAAATAAAGTTAGTTTAATTTAGTTTTCCTCCTGTGGTAACACTGGATTGATAGCAGACATGGACATCTAGGAAGAACTGTTTAGAACTGATATGTTTATCATTTACCTTGAATTTACTTCCAATGCTATCAAATGCAAGTTTCTTTTTTGTTGGTGCTAAGAAGTTATCGGCTTCTTGTTTGTTGGGAAAGAGACTTTTAAGAAAACTGTCTTTACTGTTGTGTAGAATTGCTTCAAGATCACTGTGTAGAGCATCGTTATTTTTAGCAATAAACTCAGCCTAAAAACATAAAATAATAGGCTACTACTGCCAATATTCGACCAAAATAATACACAAACTAGGCTCACATAACATTTCACAACATCATTGATTCTATGTTGTGAAAAATACAAGCCAAATGTCTTTTTTTTCCTACCGTATTGTAACAAACGGCGCCAGCAAAATGTCTGATGAGAAATCCTTCGTCATCTTTAACATTTCTGTGCATCACCAAGTGAGATTTCCGTGGCAACTAAAGAAGAGAAAACACATGAAAAAACTATATTTTGGTGTTCATTCGTAAAGTAAAACTGAACCAAAATCTTTCTTGATCTCGGAGGAGAATATTTCAAAACATTCATGACTCACAGCTAGTCTGAAATGGCCGTTATTTTTATGAAAAACTTCTGTTGTAAAATGTTGATACGTGGATTTTGGTAGCTTGCTTTCCTCGTTCAAAAGAACCAGTATACCAGTGTTCTTCGACTCAATCAAATCTGTAAATCAATAATATCAATTAACATCGTATTAAACAGAATTTTAAGTAATGGTCCGATTCATACCAGAGACGGATCATCTGTCTGGACGAACTTTAGGCAAGCGAAAGATGGTTCGTATTCTAGTTCATCTGTGTATAAACACAGGAAAACAGACGGATCATCCGTCAACACTCGCTTACCAATACAATCCTGATTGTCAATGAAGTGAATTTCCCTGACATTCAGTCCTTCCTTCTTGTAAAGTTCCTGTTCTTGCTTCAAAACACGTTCGTTAAAAAATTGTTGTAGCTTTTCGTTGCAGTAGTTGATACAGAACTGCTCAAAACTGTTCAAGTCGAAGAATTCTAGGCAAATTAAGAATGATTTAATAACAGACATTCAAAGACACGGCTTTAAGTGTCTAGTTTTAGTAGCGACTCACCAAATCCAGCGATATCCAACACACCGATGAAGGTCGATGAGGATTTAAACGGGAAGCATTGATTGACCTGGGCCACGATATGATCAAACAAGTGGGAATACAAAGCTTTAGCTAAGGCATCTCTTGCTGCCGTTGCCTGGTCGATCTTCAATGGAACTCTAAATGGTAAATGAAAATGGTAACTTTGGGTAGCTCTATCAGTTCTAAACTGTTCTTCCTAGAGGTCCAGTAAGGATCATCTCTTATTGATTCAGTGTTACTACAGGAGGAAACCTAAACTAAACTAACTTTATTTATACTGGATAGCTCTATCAGTTCTGAACTGTTCTTCCTAGAGGTCCAGTAAGGATCATTTCTTATTGATCCAGTGTTACTATAGGAGGAAACCTAAAGTAAACTAACTTTATTTATACTGGATAGCTCTATCAGTTCTGAACTGTTCTTCCTAGAGGTCCAGTGGGGATCATCTCTTATTGATCCAGTGTAACTACAGGAGGAAACCTAAACTAAACTAACTTTATTTATACTGGATATCTCTATCAGTTCTAAACTGTTCTTCCTAGAGGTCCAGTAAGGATCATCTCTTATTGATTCAGTGTTACTACAGGAGGAAACCTAAACTAAACTAACTTTATTTATACTGGATAGCTCTATCAGTTCTGAACTGTTCTTCCTAGAGGTCCAGTAAGGATCATTTCTTATTGATCCAGTGTTACTATAGGAGGAAACCTAAAGTAAACTAACTTTATTTATACTGGATAGCTCTATCAGTTCTGAACTGTTCTTCCTAGAGGTCCAGTAAGGATCATCTCTTATTGATCCAGTGTAACTACAGGAGGAAACCTAAACCTAGTCATGACAGCAGTTCTTACTTGATATCGCCGGTGCCTAATGCTCCAAGTTGTTTAACCTGTGACATCAATCTTGCGGTCAGCGCAGTCTTCAATGCTCCATCATCAACCTGGAGTAACTTCGCCACAGTACTCACAGCACCCTCAGACTTCTTTGTAACCTTTGATCCTCCTGAATGATAGAAGAAAAATCAATAACGACTGGCCTTACAAAATACGAGTGTATTTTGAAAGTTAATTTCAACAAACCTTTCTTATCGTCCAGTTCTTCCTCAAATGCGATATTCCCAAGATGCATCACAGCAGCTACAATTCTGAAAATATTATCTTTCTCTTGCGAGGAGAAGCCGACTTTGTCCATAGATTCTGACATCAGTTTGTAGTCTTGAGTGTCGTTCAAACTCTTGTCTTGTATGGATCCTTGATTTAGGAACTGAAAATATAATATTCAAAAGTTAAATCCTGTATCTAGCACACATCTGGGTTCATTGCAAGCTAATGGGTTAACAAGAGAAATTGACAGATAGTTTTGTTAACTTATTAACTGACAATACTCTTCCACTGATGAGTAAAATCATCTGACATTAGACAGAGTAAAATACTAAAGTAGGTCACATCTGGGTGCATTGCAAGCTAATGGTTTAACAAGAGACACTGACAGATAGTTTTGCTAACTTATTAACTGACAGTATTCTTCCACTGATGAGTAAAATTATCTGACATTAGACAGAGTAAAATACTAAAGTAGGTCAGATCTGGGTGCATTGGAAGCTAATGGGGTTAACAAGAGACACAGACAGATATGTAAACTTACATGAAAATCTTCAGCTTTTGTAATTCCCAGTGAGGTTTTGAGAGCTGCTGGTGCGCCTGAACAAAGTCTGTAGAAAACATGATAACTTCTCTCTCCAGGACTTTGTTTGCAGATCCGGGATTTCTCAAGCAAATAATGCGAAATAAACCCACCGACAACCTTGGGCTGGATGAAAAAAAAGAGACAGACTTTTGGTAATAGGTTTACAATAGCAAACTTCAAACCAGCAAAATTAAATAGCAACTATGTCGTTAAATCAAGCAATCACTCCATCACTAGAGCTTTCACCAGTAGTTGTTAGTTTTTGTATTATATAAAGATCTTCACCTTTTCGTTAAAGTGAACCTCAACATATTTTCCAAAACGACTGCTGTTTATGTTCCGCAATGTCTTGGCATTTCCAAAAGACTCAAGTAAGGGATTGGCTAAAAAAAGGTGTCAAACAAGTTGAGCATACCAAGACCATGATATTTAGATTTAAAACAAAGTCTGATTTCAGCAATGAAAATGCATGTTAGGTTTACAGACCTTCAACAATTCTTTCCTCAATATGACCATGTTGTCCATCACCCCAGGACTCTGTCAAATATCTGTGATTGAAAAAAAAACATATGAGGGTACGCTTAGCCAAAATAAGTTAACAAAACTAGCTCTGCTAGTGTCATGTGTTAGCTAGTGTTTCAATAAGAAAAATCGGCAAAGATGAAATATTGGAAACTGTACGGTTTGTTTTCAAATTCTTTGATCCTCTCAGTTACATATTCCGTGCACCAGAGAACAGTTAATAGGCGACTTATAGATGAACAAGTGATACTGTACGTAACACATACTAATTAACTCAATTTCTTCAATTAATTACCTCAGGATAAATTTTGTCGATTCAGTTTTACCAGCCCCAGATTCACCTTTGAAAAAAAATTTAAACAGATATCAACTAGAGTTAAGTCATTGCAGGTCTGAATATATTATATACAATGGTCAATATTTAAAACTGAAGTTTTTTCATCCTAAGGCAGGCTTACCACTGACAATAATTGACTGGCTTTCCTTCAAAGCTCTCATATCTCTGTAAGCCTTGTCCGCTGATGAGGGAAAAACAATGAAAATTAGACAAGTTATTGAAGCAGTTTTAGTGCAGGTCATTGGAAGTACTTTATCTTAAAACTTGTTTACAAACCAATTGCAAAGATATGGGGTGGAAGGACACCCAGCGATTTTCCATGATATTTTTTCATCATTGCAGATGAGTAAAGATCTCGCATATCATGATATGGGTTCACAGCAAGAAGAATATCAGCGACATATGTCTATAGAAGAAATTGAGGTGTTTTAACAATGCAAATATAATACTATGTGTCTCCAGATATATCTGTATTTTTAACTAGCATGTTTGCAATTCATAAAAGATAAAATTAATACTGCCAAAACTCTCAACTGTTAGAATTGCTTCTTGGACTTCAAGTAAGATTAATTACTTACATAGATTAAGTCCTTTTTGTATCTGACTCTGAGATTATTTAGTAGTGTAGCTTCATTCAAAAACATCAACGCACCTGAATTATTAAAATAAAGGCTCATTAATTGTTATAGCGAAACAATTTATGAACATGGAACACCAGTGAATATATACATAAATAAAATCTTTCAAAAACTCTTCAATATATACTGGATATATCAAGCTATTATAAATGATAGTATCTAACGAAGAAGAAGTCACAGAAAGACAGAGTATTGTTGTTTAGTCTATCAATTAAAGGGGACAGTTTGCATTAAAATCTTGCATGCATGTGGGTTTTAAAAAATAACACAAGCTCTAATCTGAAATTCAATCAGAAAAGCTTAACCAGATTAAGGGAGGTAGATTATAATTTACTTAAATGTCAACATTTTGAAGACAAACACTCTCAAGTTGTGCAAATACAATTTGTAATTATATTTATATTCTTTGAAAGATTTCTAGCAATCATCATTCTTTTAAATCGTAGTTGCTTTTGAATAAATTTTCATTTATCTTGAAAATGTAAACAAATGTGACAAGTATTAATATCATATTTGATTAATAACCATTCAAAATTTGCATATAATGGCCGATAAGTCTAAAAAAGTTTCAAAAAAATAATTCACATATAATTTCGTCTTCAAAAAAGGGAACTCTGTCATGCTATGATTGCCAGTGATTTGGATGAACCTTTTGACAAGAAGTTAGATTGATATGGAATTTAATTTCTCACAGACATCTGTGTGTTGCAAAAGCTCAAATTAATGCAAAATATACTCAGTTGGATGGTTGCTATTTTAATTAGACTTCTCCGCATGTATTTGCCATCCTCGTTTAAACAATTGTTCAAGAAATGCTTTCTGATCGTTTTAGTAAAGATTTGCAACAGGACTGTGTGAGAAGTATTTTTAACCCATTATCTGGCATTTCACCAATTAAGACATAGCCTTATCAAAGCATTTTTATTTTGACTATAAATATTCAATATCAGTTTTACAAATCAGAGGTAAACTCTGCAAGCCAATGGATTAAACGTCTTTGTCTTAAGAGACCCTCGAAAGGCTGTCTGCCACATCACTGAGTCTGATTTGAATCACAAAGATGTTCAGAAATATAAAAACAATTGATAATTAACATTATCAATTAAATAGGCATTTGCTTTTTCATAGACATATTGCATGCACCCACACTTGTTCTATTTATATTGAAGAAGGCGATGTATATTGCTTTAAGTTGAAATATATTGCCTTTTCAAAGAGTTTGCATTCTCATTGCAGTGATAGATTACACATAACAGGTTTAAAAAAAGATCTTCAATGATATAATATAGAATATAGCCATTGCAGATCTTAATGCAGGTGTTTTAACAATCGGCATAATTAGGTTTTAGAGAGTAAAATATTTCCTCAACTTACAATTATCTTCGACATCCTTTTCATTATCTTTCTCCGCTTGAAAAACGCGTTCGTACGGAGCTGAAATTGCCTGGAATTTCAAGAAGAAAGTCTTTTAATTCTCTGCATAGTAGCGGTAGAAACTTTGTATTTTAACTACTAGGAAACAAACGATTTGCATTACCTTAGTATAGACATACAGTACAAAATATACATAGAGTACAAAATACACACAGAAAGAACTCTAAATTTGGGTTAAAATTGAGATTTTGCAAGACAAAAATTGATACAAAAATTGATAGTTTTCAAGTCAAGAGGAAGGAAGAACTTACTGAGCCTCGCGAATCGAGAGGTTCGACAGAAATTGTGTCAGATCCAAGGTCTACAACTCGACCAAGACGAAAGCCATGACTCGAATCAGGCGCCCAAACGAAGCCGGCAATGTCCATGATTAGCGAACAATGCTTTGGATGATATTTGGAGGTCTTTTACTCGAAATATTTCGTGGTTTTGAAGAGGAAAGCTGTCAAAACATGTCAAGGGGATTTAAAAACCGAGGAATTGAAATTAACAACAACCGGAAATGGTCCGCGTTCTTCGTTAAGCGTCATTAAGGTGGCTCACTGCTGTTTGTAAAGACATTAGTTAAGGTGGCTCACTGCAGTTTGTAAAGACGTTAGTTAAGGTGGCTCACTGCAGTTTGTAAAGACGTTAGTTAAGGTAGCTCACTTTGCAGTTTGTAAAGACGTTAGTTAAGGTAGCTCACTGCAGTTTGTTAAGACCCAGTTAAGGTGGCTCACTGCAGTTTGTAAAGACGTTAGTTAAGGTGGCTCACTGCAGTTTCTAAAGATGTTAGTTAAGGTGGTTCTCTGCAGTTTGTAAAGACACTAGTTAAGGTGGCTCACTGCAGTTTGTAAAGATGTTAGTTAAGGTGGCTCACTGCAGTTTGTAAAGACGTTAGTTAAGGTAGCTCACTGCAGTTTGTAAAGACGTTAGTTAAGGTGGCTCACTGCAGTTTGTAAAGACGTTAGTTAAAGTGGCTCACTGCAGTTTGTAAAGACGTTAGTTAAGGTAGCTCACTGCAGTTTGTAAAGACGTTAGTTAAGGTGGCTCACAGCCGTTTGCAAAGACGTTAGTTAAGGTGGCTCACGGCAGTTTGTAAAGACACTAGTTAAGGTGGCTCACTTTTGTTTGTAAAGACGCCAGTTAAGGTAGCTCAATGCAGTTCGTAAAGACGCTAGTTAAGGTGGCTCAATGCAGTTCGTAAAGTCGCTAGGTAAGGGGGCAGTTTTCGATTCGCCTCGCGTGACGTCGCAGTGATTATTGAGAATTGCAGTCTCAATAATTACCAATTCCGCGGTGTCGACACCCACTCAATTTCCGCGACTCTGTCTTAACCCCTCTCTTACCTCTTTAAACCATCACGTATTTTGTCACTGTCCTCTTTCTGCAATTTTTAATCGGATGCTATTTTGAATGTGTTATTGCAACAAACACACAATGAAAACTAGACAAATTTGCATACTATCTTGTGATTCTTGTCATAAAACATCTGCTCAAAAATACACGTTGCAAAATAAAACTTCTCTCTTTATTGTAACAATTTTATAATAGTAGGCACTTGGTTTTTAATAGATTTTTATTCCTCAAAAATGTTTGTAGATTGTTTAAACGTTGCTTTGGCAACAAGCAGGTTACTATCTAAACTCAAACAGGCATCGTATTACAAACACAAATGTACTGTATATTTTTTGAAGGCAATATTGTTATTCTAACGTTGTGTTTAGCGTTTTATAAATCATTTTTAGTTGCAACACATCATGGCCAATAGCGGAGATGAAACTGTCCCGATAAACAGCGACGCATCTGGCGCAAATTCGAATTTTTGGGATGTGAATTATTACAAGACGATTGTGAAACGTATGGAAGATGGCGCGAAGCTGTGCGAAGATTTTATGAAGATGATCACCGAAAGAGCTGAGATCGAAGCCTTGTATTCTAATAAAATGCGAAGTTAGTGACATTTAAGCGCGCGGTATTGAGTCGGTTATAAAACAGATTGTTACAATTATCAATTGATATTTGAATAGACTAATCCTCGATTGTTCTACTAGTTTATCTAATCAAAATTTGTCGGCAATATTCATGAAAGTTGCAGTTTCATGAATATCGCAGTCAAAAACGAGTGCCCGAGCAAGAATGAATCAATCATCTTAAATCGCGTTTAAAATGAATTTAAAAGCCAGCGCAACACGACGATTCAGGCTCCTACTTCAGTACATATTAAATTGCAAACGTCTACCGTTGCTAAGCGTAAAGCGTTCTTCTCCATTTTCCTTTGTAGCTTGGTCGAAAAAATGGGAGGAAAATCACAAGAAGAGCACAGAATATGGCGCGTTGAAAACCGCCATGTTTGGAATCATGGTCGAGGGTGACCAACTTGCAGACGTACATTACGAACTGCGGGAGAAATTACTCAACGAGGTCCATCAAAGCGTGAGTCAATGGAAGAAAGACAATTATCATAAGTCTATAATGAGTTACAAAGAAGTAAAAAATGTAGAGGAAGGATTTGGTAAAGCGCAAAAACCTTGGAATAAGAAACTCGATGAAGGTAAAGCTTGTAGATTTTTTTACCTCGACAAGTAAACATTGTTTTCCGGGGTCTTTAAAGTTTAACCCCACAACAGACATAGCTAAAACACTTTTTCTGGTTTGTTAAAGGTAATTAAGTTGCTTCCAAGAAACCCATGTAGTACGTTTCCTTGTCCCTACAAAAATAGCCCGTGAATACCTTAACTCTATCTGGCTTGATATAGTTAATAAAGCGAAGAAAACCTACCACAATTCTTGTCGTAATGTCGACAATGGCAAACAACAGCAACTGGAAGCTAAGGCTAAAGATTCAAACGAGGAACAACTAAAAAAACTGGAAGACAAGATTGAAAAATGTCAGCAGGACGTGAAAGATTCTAAAATGAAATACGAGGAATCGCTTCGAGATCTCAACGGCTACGTTCCTAAATATAAAGATGATATGAAGTACTCGTTTAACAAATGTCAGGAACACGAGGAACTCCGGAAGAGCTTCTTTGAAAGCTTGTTGCTGAGTTACCATAAAGCAGTCACGCGTGAAGAGCACGCTACAAGGTGAGATGTTGACAGGAATATTGTAAGTTTAGTTTAGGTTTCCTTCTGTAGTAACACTGGATCAATAAGAGATGATCCTTACTGGATCTCTAGGAAGAACAGTTTAGAACTGATAGAGCTATCCAGTATAAATAAAGTTAGTTTAGTTTAGGTTTCCTCCTGTAGTAACACTGGATTAATAAGAGTTGATAATGTTATGAGTAAAATACAAATTGTTCCCTTTTGTTTTGTTGTTCAGAATGTCAGCAATGTATCAGGGAATGATCGCAACTTTTAAGAAGACGGCAACAAAAGACGACCTGGAATGGTACGCGGATTTCGTTGGTGTGAATTCTGAGCTGAAAATACCACAATACGAGGTCAGGATCCCAACATTTGCTGCTAATCTCCCCGGTTCATTTTAAAAACATTCAAGGCTTACCACGAGTTCTTCTTTGTAGGAATACGATTCTACCACGGCGAGCCCTCAAACACAGAATAATACGAACGAGGAAAATAGCTCAGCAAAACGAAATAAAAGTGGTGTTTGCACTACATTATAACGTAAATAACTTTATTTGTGTGAAGAAAAAAATGCCCTTTAAAGACTAAATGTACTCATTCGATTGCAATGCTCGTTTATACATCACGTTTGATCTTTGATATCAGATATTCAATCAGCTCATGCATAAAAAAAACGTGTAAATATTGTAAATATAACATCGCGTGATCATTTGCATAAACTGTAGACTTATTGCAGCAATTGTCCGAAAGTTTACGGCGATTTTAATATAAGATATTTCTTATGGAACTCTCCTATACTTGTTTTACAAAGTCAATGGGTTGAAGAAACTCTAGAGTTCGCCGTTGCGGTTTTATCAAGACAAAAATGCTTAATTTTGAACTAGTTTATTATTATAATATCAGACTTGATTCCGCAGTGTTTTAACCTGCTACCACCCGTACACTTATAATAAACATTTCAACTTAAACGATGAACTTTTGTCAAAGAAAAAAACCACCTGTAAACAATAGTGACTTTCTAGTTTTGATTTTTATATATAATTCCGATGAAACGCGTAAAAAATGCTCCTAAAGATATATATTTGTAGTTTAGCATTAGGATTTTGTTTTATAATGAATGGACACGGCCGACCTTCGAAAGGAAGGAAACGAAGTCGAGGAAAATATCAGAAGACGGAACCAAAACTAACGAAGGCAGAATGGAAACAGATTCATAAATTTGAAGACGCACTCAAAGATGAAGAAGGGAAATTGTTTTACACAGATTCTTGGGCAGTGAAATTCACAGATCAGGCTGAAGTCGAAGTGGCCGATAGAATCGCGGCTAAACACGGCTTTGCTAATTTAGGAAAGGTTCGTAGTATGATATAGAAAGAAAGATACACAATATGGCAGTTCTTCTTGCACACGTCTGTAGGAAAACCTTCATCTTTTCTTCTGCAACAAGCGAGTTTATACGTATTCATTTGAACATCATGTATACGAGATTTAGCCATCGTTTATGCAACTCAAGCTAGGAGAGTTTAAAACAAAGTATTATCCTCTTTGAAAGGTTGGCACTCTCGCTGGTTATTATCATTTCAAACATATTGGAAACGCATTTCGTGGGAAAAGAAGCACTCATGAAAAAACCAAATTACTGATGTCTGAGGATGAGGTTTGAACTAAACATAGATTATCTAAAATATAACTAGCTTTAAATAGTTCTAAGCTCAGTGTTCTTACTAAAGGTCGAGTTGGGATCATCTGCTATTGATCCACTGTTACTACAGGAGCAAACCTAAACTAAACCAACTTTATTTATACTGGATAGCTCTATCAGTTCTAAACTGTTCTTCCTAGAGGTCCAGTAAGGATCATCTCTTATTGATCCAGTGTTACTACAGGAGGAAACCTAAACTAAACTAACTTTATTTATACTGAATAGTTCTATCAGTTCTAAACTGTTCTTCCTAGAGGTCCAGTAAGGACCACCTCTTATTGATCCAGATGAGAGCAATGAAACTCTAACTAAACTATGCCATAGGTTTTATGGGCTGAGCGTCAACATGTACTTAATCGGAACAAACGTGATGGAGTGCCTTCGGATCCAAAGTTTCAAGATCAATGGTATCTGGTAAGCAATGATATTGGTTCAGTCTGGGAGCATTGCAAGCGGAATACATACTCTTTATAACAGAGAAAGTTTGATCACCACATTTTATATTTCCGCCTTAGTTTAACCAAGGTCAGTCATCTGGGCCCGCAGGTGTTGATGTCAATGTCGTACCGGTTTGGCGAAGTGGTATCACAGGACGTGGTGTTGTAGTCAGTATACTGGATGACGGTATGTTATGCGTACTGAGGGAAGCAACAACGTGCATGGTATTCACGTTTTCAACATACTCTAATCTTTCATGAGCTTATAGAAAAA